TAGAGATGAGCAAACACTTCTTTACAACACTGATTTTATCGCTTAGCTCTTATCGAAAACAAGGCATACATTCTATAAAATGTCACTAGATAACACGTTGATTAGGATCTTGAGATAAGGAAGGACTATGTAGTAAATGCTATTTAAGTCAGTTTACTTTCCGTACATTTCTGAATGCAGGCTTCAGATAAAATCAATCAAATAACGAATATCTAGTGAGGCATATTGCCCTTGCAGAAATGTTCAAAAATAGGTGCAAAAAATCCATATAATATATGTGTATGTTCTTGTTTATTATCAATGGAAGAGTCGAAATAGTCAGGTCTGACTATGCAAATTAGTCTCTCAATGTTATTGTTTTATATTTGCCATAGTCGACCAGATCGGACTGCTAAATCAAATAGGTGACAAAAAGACCCCGGACAGAAGTTATGTTCTCTATATGAATACATTTTTTTCATAAGATATCTTGATCAAGCTTGACGGGGATGCGCAAAACTTACATATATGCTTCAGACGTACTCATCCCTGCTTATTAATTTATGGAAAACCTTTAACCCTTGGGGCATTTTTTGTCATATTATGTGCAAAAAACTATATTTTATAGTTCGCTGCACAGAAACTAACCCAAAATATTCAGTGTAAATTAACAAAAAAAAATCAAAAATCGTCTGGAAAATATGTAAATCGTATTTCTACGTAAATCTCACATTGCCGTTGCCCTGCTTGGCCAGTCGATGGAAACGCAAGGCTTCAATGACCGCCATGCTGGCGACCTCTTCGGTCTGTACATTCTGGCCTACAGAGCAGCCCTTGATGATGGCGCTCAGGTGATCGAGGACATCGCGACGCGACTGTCGGTCCTGCAGTCCGTTCCGAGTGATACGCTCGAAGGTGTCATTAAAGAAGCACTCGAAGATGTAGTCCATGACCAGTTGGCGTCTCGGCGCCTTACCGCAGCGCTGGTGACTGGCTCGGCTGCTCGCCGCCCGAGGCCGTACCAATGGCCGGAAGCCGTACAAGTTTTGCGGCAATGACAGCAGCCAAACCGAAGCCAGTTGCCGTTTTAATTGACTTACGAGCAGCTGCAATGCCAACAACCACTGCAACAACATGTTGGCAAATAAATAACAACAAGAACAACAACAAATTAATATTTAATTCAAGAAAAGATTCACAATCAAATAAAACCAATTTTGAATAGACAAAAATACGTTAAACAAAGTTCGGCACACGGAAGCAAATAAAAAGGAAGGAAAACTTCACATGCGAACAGACAGAGGGTGAGCAGCACAGATAGAAAGGGAGGAAGAGAGAGAGAGAGTGAGAGAGAGTGCGAGCAAATGTGAGCGAACACAACAGCACGCGCTCTCACTCTCCCTCTCTCTGTGTGCGCTCTCCATATTGATTTTTTTTGTGTTGGCAACAATACGCACACAAACAAAAACAATACGGTAAAAACAAAAGCAAAATTGTAAACAAACAAACTATTCGCATTGCGTAGTATGTGCTGTATTTACATTTAATCAATTCATGGAAAACCACGTGCAATCAACTAAATCGAATTGCATATTCTATTAATTTTAGTATTTGTAATCATATCACATTGTTTTCAAATACCGACTAGATGTTCTTTTATATATTTTATAGCCAGCCAACTTCGCTTCTTTAATGCATTGTCAAACGAACGCGCCAACCAATACAATAATTCGCGCTGTTCAAACGCCGTTAAACAACTGAGTAGCAGCCCCACAGAACATACATATCTAAAATTTCAGGTCTAGCGCTCAGCTGTTCTTACCTTTTTCCCACGCGCTAACTCTCTTCTGCTCTCTTCTTGGCAACCCACCATACGAAACAGGTCTCTTACCCACCCTCACACATTCTAGAACTCTGCAGAGAGCTCTATCTCACTCTCTTGTAACAATTCGCTTTATTAGGACTGCAGTGCGTAATTATTTAACATTTTTTAATATTTTTTAATATTTATATTACGCTCACTTAATATAATATATACATGATCGATCAGTGGATTACAATACAACTAAAAATTAAAAAAAACTCATTTCGATATAATACATTGCCAAAAAAAAGTATTATGGGATATTTGCATGCTGTTAAAATTTAAACATTACATACTTCAATCTGGCACATATTATTTTATAAATTTGTGTCAATATTGTAAGGCTTACATTGTTTAATCATTGAAATAATCAAATTAAAGATATTTTGAAAAAGGGATATGACAAAGAAGACCTAATGAAGCACACAGGCTTTGACATTAAAAATTCAAGAAAAATTAAAAAAATATCTGATCCGTAGATGAATCAAAAAGATACATTAAATATGCCCCGAAAAAGGAATTTCTTTTGTTAAAATCGATGGATACCAATCTTTTTATAGTTTTTGTAAATCTTTGGCCAAAATTCATCGTTACCTTTTTATTTATTTGCACATGTGAATTACATTGGGGTTATTTTAATTGATTTAAGTGCTTACCGTTCACAACATTTAAATAAAAGCAGCTGTTGTGTACAATTTATTAACAGAAATCCTTTAGTTCCGTTGCATTTTATTAATTTTTTATATATATTTTTTTACACAATTTTATTTATTTGCATATGTTAATTGAATTGCGGTTCTTGAAAATAATTCAAGACCGATATGAGAGAGGCCAATATATGCAATTAAACATAAAACAATATGACAATATTTACCATCCATTCGAGTATTTATTTTAGCTGTTCTGTATCTTTAACGCTTGCATATCAATTACAGAGCTTAAATATTCATATTACACGCTTTGTATTTACACGATATCTTAAATATTTACTCTGAAAATGACCCACCGTGCAAATGTGTATTTTAATGAAGACATTAATTAAACCCATTCACTTGGGCAAGAAGAAGATGGAGTGGTTGATTGTCTGATTTCATGTGCACGAGCAAAAATGTACGATTCGAAGGTGAGAGACTGCAGGATACTCTGTAATTTGTACATAATTTAAGCATGATGTAGTTAATTATATAAAAAGAAGAAATTTAAAAGAAAAATTATACTTGCAAGAGCTTATCGAGTTAACTAGTTCAGCTGATAGTATGAACCAATCGCTCCAATTGGTTCCATGATACACGTTTTGGTTCAAAAGTTCTGTGACTTAAATTTTCAAATTTAAATTATACAATTTAACTTTTATTTTGATATTGTTCGTTCTAACAAAAATATTGCAAGCCGCAAACATTTTCCTATACAAAAATTCGATCTCTATTAAAAATTTGAAAAGTTTTTTATTTTTAACCAAGGCATTTTAGAGAAAACACTCTTTGTCTCTAGCTCTTAAAGTCTCTCCCAGTACGATAAGCTTATAGACTGAATGTTATCGAATGTTGATATCTAACTAACATTAAGACTCAGAGCAGCTTTGCATAACTTTGTTATGCCCCATAGCAGACATTGTATGCGTACGGGCAAGAATTTAACGACTTCTTGGCTGAGTGCAATGTGCATCATTAAGTGCACTTCATTAAAATACGTAAAAGTCATAAATATTACCTGCGATTTTTATGCTCCGTCCCGAAACGAATGCTTCATTAATTTAAAGGTCCGCTGGTCCGTTGAAATTGTGGCCGTAATGCAAACCGAGTGGCGAGCTGTGAAAAACTGTCAATTAATTGAATTAAATGTGTATGCAATCAGTTATTGAGCACTATAATCAAGTACATGATGCAATGTACCCCAACATTTACTCACACACAGACACACACGCGTGCACTTGTTGTCTGCCGTATTTATATAAAATGTTGTGGCTGCACGAAACGGAAACGGAAATGTGACCACAGCAAGCGCCACGTACGCAGCCAGACAAATTTAATATTATGCTCTGTTCAGAAAATAAAAATAAAATGGGGTGGAAATGGGAAATAGTGTAATAAATTCAATGGAAAAGCACACAATGCAAAAATCTGCATAAATTGATGACAGGAAATAAATATAATGCACAAAAAGCAATTAACTATGTGAGCAAAACATAAAATTAAAAGAAGAAAAAAAAAATTAAATTTAATGATTAAAGTTATTGGTTTCTTAATAAAATAATTGACAAATTGAACTAAGTTAGACTCGTCTATTGAAAATGGTAATATTACCATATCTTCTTATAACGGCAACAGACAGAAGAAGACGACTCGGCAGATAAAAAATATGCATTCTTAATTAGATCTACAAACTGAGTCGATGTGTGTCTGGATGTCTATCCGTCTTTTAGTATTTAGGAATACATCGAACTAAAAGACGTTTAAAGAAGTAGTCCGGATTATGTTATGATATTGAAATCTTGAGTCTCGAGCCTATATCGGAGCTTATAAGAGCTAGAGACCTCAGATTTGGTTGACATAGTCTCACATAGAGTGTGCACTTTCAAAATATGCAGGCTTTGGTATTTACAAAAATGAGTGTCATATTTTAGCCCCGAAAATTTCGTAAGTATCGGAACATAAATACAGAAGTTATTCAAGAATAAATGAATGCCAAAGCATTAAACAAAGCGAAGAAGATGCAAAAGCAGCACGACGCTAGGTTCAGGGTATCTACCAGTCCAGCACAACCTTGTGGAGCAATATTAAATTTGCATTTGCAGCCATGGATAGAAAATATTTTCAGGCTGCGGTCGAAAATGCAATGCTGAAATCATTTACCATCATCTACGAACCAAGGCTGGCACTCGAGAAGCTGCCCGGGTGCACGTATGTTATGTGCGTCTATATGTTGACATACATTAGCCAAGTGCTTGCAATAAATTGCTGTCAATTGTGGGCTCCATCTTTATCTCCGGGGCGCATTCGTTGGGTATGTGAAGTGGTCGTAATTCAAATCTCTGCCAAGCACTGTCGAGGCAGCTGCACGCGAGTATCCTTTAATGATATACTTGAAGCAAGTCGACTAATGTAGACCAAACTTTTGATTGCTGATTTTGTATTTTGTCTGTTTTTATATTTTGCAGGCTGCTGTGCCAGGAGATCAACGAGGATGATTCATTTAATCTGGAGTACCGCGGCCCGGTCATCATGAAAGGCAAGCCGACACCGATGGACTGCTGGTTCCTGACACGTGCCACCAGCGCACTAAACGCCAGCAGCAGCGGCAATGGCAGCCTCGACTCGCCGCAGCTGCAGCCCACAACGCCAACGGCCACAACGCAGCGGCTGGTCATGGGCATGGGACATGCCAGTGTCTCACGTACATCCTCGGCGAGCGGCAGTACCGGCGGTGGCGGCGGTGCCAGTGGTGGGGGAGCAGCCGCAACGGGTCCTGTGGCGCCCTCAGATGCATAGGAAATGCAAAAGGATGCAAATATACTGTAAATCTACGTGCAACTCCTCGACTTCAGCAGCCAAGCGACTATCCAACTGATTGTGTGTGTGTGTGCGTGTGTGTGTGACTTGGCCACTTAACCACTTCATTTCAATGTATTTGTGCTGTCTTGGCTCGCATCCTTGTGTGCATCTGCGTGTGTAAGTGTGAGTGTGTGTGTGTGTGCGACTGCTGCTGCTGCTGCCACATTGCGGCTGAAGAAGTTGGCATCAGGCATCGCTGGATCGTTGTGCAAGGTAATTTATGTTAATGCTCTTACAGCTGTAACCTCACAAAAGAAGCTAGGGCGAGAGAGAGGGAGAAAGAAAATGGAGTTAGTGTCTATGGGACACGCCCACACAAGTTAGTTTACAAATGATTTACATGTCTTCAGCGATTACGCAGCGTATACGTAATTTATGGGCATATTTACAAGGCTTATTTGTACTGCATAAATCAAAACCGTGTCTCTGCAGTACAAAATTAGCATTATGTATCATTTTTATGCCCCACCCATAGACGTTAGCCATTTGTTAAAGTGTTATCGCTGCAAACTCAACCAAACACGATTTGCTGTCGGGCCATAAAAGCAAACGCACATATCCTGTACAAGTTTTCATGCTGTTTGCCCAAAAGCCTCGCTGCTTGTGCAGTAAACTAGATAAGTCTAAAACAACTCAATATAAAAGCCATAATATGGCAAACAGTTAAACATTTATACATATATATATATATATATATATATATATCTGCACTTCAGCAGCAGCAGCCACCGAACTTGAACCCAAGCCCAAGTCTCGTCTCTCAAATTTTGGAGCATACTTTGCGGCGCTGCCAAAGGATTGTCAACAGCGCCAAGCGAATTGTTTGCTTTTGTTTACAAAAGTTTGGCCAGCCTCCTGCTATATATCTATATAAAATATATATGTATATATGTATATGTATATAAATGGATAGGCATAACAGAGCCACAACAAAACGGGCCTTTCTGGGCGCTGGAAAGAAAGAGCACCAGCTTTGGAATTTAACACATATTTTCATATCAAATATTTGGCATAAACAAACAACCGCAGTAGCAGAAAGGATGCCATGGAACAAACAGCAAATATATGTAAATTGACGAGGGCAGCTTAAAAAACTAATGCAGCAGTTAAGGTTACTGCTTTTAACTTTTATTATAATATAAAAAATCCAAATATCTATTCAATGAACCTAAGAGATTTTCCTATTGCCTCTAGGAGTGCTTGTTAAGAATTACAAAACACAGAAAAACAGTAATGCATATAAAAGGGTGTTGTTTACAATTTAGTTTACTTAATGAGTTTACTTAAGAAAAGAGTGCTCGAAACTCGAATTACTTGAGCTTGTAATGATTAAAAAGCACTAAGTATTACCTAATATATCATATAAACAACAGAGAAATAAGTTACACATAGGTTTATCTGAGGCAATTGGGCTTCCCGCCTTTAAAAATTAGATAGGGTCTTCCTTTAGTCTTTTAAGTAAGCTTTCCACCTGTTTACAGCTGACACAAAAATTTAACATTAGCCTTGCTTGATATCCTTGATGGAGCTACATTTATGTTAAGAAGCCTTGCGTTTCTGTACATTTTTGAGTAGTTTCAGAAGTTTCGATACCATATTGAGAACTTTTTTTTAACCAGATAACTTTTGAAGTTTCTATTGAGCACAAATTGTGGAAACTGTAGAAACAAAAGGATAACTTTTAAAATATGCTGCACAATCATTAATAGAGAAAATACTTTTTACTTTTTAACAGAGAAAATACTTTTTGCTAACAATTTAACAGCGACCCTCGCCAGAATATAACTCAAGTTTATCTTCAGCCCGAAAACTTTGTTAATGTATATGACATTGAGGCAAAGCGAATCGCATTAAACGCCCACGAGCCGACCCAGGCGCAGGCACAGATACAGATACAGATACAAATAAGGCTAGAGAAACAAATATGTCGAGAGCTCCTTATAGACTTGCATACAGATTTGTTTTGGAAAGTGACTCTGGGCTGTGTATTGTGGGCAGAGCATTTTATATTGGCTCTCAATGTCTGTTTATGGCCTCGATATGCGCACATTATCGTTAAATGCTAACAATAACAATAACAATAACAGCAACAACAACAACAACAACAACAATGCAATTTCATGACTTGCAAGTGGAAAGGCATTTTGATGATGATGCCATACAAGTGTGTGTGCGGGTGTGTACGGGTGTGTGTGCCCCTAACGATGCCTCGTTAGAAATGGATTAACATTGATTAGTTGTCGCAATTCTCTTGCTTCTGCCTTATTTATATCATTTCTTTTGCCTGCAAATAATAATTAAAAAGGGTAAACGAAATGTTTGTTAAGCACATTTCTCATAATTTATATAAATCACATTTCTGTTACGGTCAGCAGCTCATTTGCATTCATAACGAATGCAGGCAGCACAAGAGATTGAAATTAAGGTCTTAGAAGCACAGAATTGGGGTGGTTTAAGAATGAAAGTTTTCGACTGCGAGTTGCTCTGTGCACACTTAAATAAAAATACACAATACCTGGGAAAAGCCTTGTGGCCTAAAAAAGCGGCGGTGGGATTGAGTGAAAGTCTTAATTGTAAAAGGTATAAAACGTCGTTTGGTCAAACAAGGTTTTTCTTTAAATTTAATTAATGAAATGTTCACACATTATAATTAACCCATACCATAACTTTTCCACCTAAATCAGAGAAGAAAGTTCAAAATAAAATTAAACATGGATCGTTAGAATTAGGGTGAATAACGATCGAAATACTAAACAAATAGATGCAAAAGCCTGATTTTCACCCATTTTCCGCACTTGAATTACGAATTAATTATTTCTTTTACAGCTTCGAAAACAAGGTTTCAGATTTTGCAGCCTGGGTCTTCACAAAGATCTTAAAAAAATAAAAATATGAAGAAAGCTGCATATAACCGTTTTCCAAATACGTTTCGTCTTGCCTTTATGGTGTCGCTAAAAGACTTGCATAATCCAATATACACCCAATTCCTCTTTGGAAACACGGAATAAATAATCTTGACTGTCCAACAGGAAACCATATTAAATATGCTTCGTTGGCTTTAGTCAAAAAAAAAAGAAGAAATAAATAAAAAGGAAAAAAGATGGCAGCAATACTTTCGTCACACTGTCTGCTCTAAGCATCCGGTTGCCCCCACAGCCAACCCTTAACCCAGCAGCTGCTGCCTGGCTGCTCTCTAAAAAATGTTCTTCATTTCTTCTATTTAGCTTTTATTTATACTTCACATCCGGCTTATTTGAGCAGGATGTTGCCGCAGGTCGCCAGTCTTGGCTTGGCGTTCATTTTGTTGTATCCTCTTTAAAATTTGAAGCTCTTCAAGTTATATTTCTATTCGATATTGAGGGCAAAGCTGAGTGCTTTGCTTATGCTACGTTTTGCCCCTTTAATTACCTTTGCAGCTGTAATTAATTTAAGGGAATGCATTCACTAATTCAACGCTCATTCATTCATTCAAAGGCCGCTTTGACCTGCTGCGAAATGCAACTTTAATGAGCTCTTAATTAGGCCTGCCTGGCCGCTTTGGGCCACTTGCAATTCGTGCCACACTCATTTATCATTTGATGCCTGCTTGGAGATTTCTTTAGATTTCCGCAGCAATTCGCATCCATCAATATATATTTTATATATTGCCTTTTCTTATTTCTTTTCTCATGTTTTTTTCTCGCACAATTTGGTTTTCTGTTCGCGTTGCTTACATTTCAAATACACACAAATGCGAATCCCGAAACCAATCAAATAAATATTTGCCTAACTAAATACAACATCAACTCTGGACTGACTCTGATCCTGGGGCTGGGCCTCGACCCTGAGCCTGAGCCTGGCCGTGGTATCCTGTCCTTTTTCAAGGCCATTGCGTGTGAGCCTCATACAAAATTTATTTGAAATTGCAAGTGACAGGCTTCTTCTTCTTCTGCTCCTGCTGCTGCTGCTGATGCTTTTTCTTCCAGTTCGAGTTGGGCTTTTCTCATTAAAATTTCATAAAGATGGAAATTATGATTGCGATGAGCCGCCGACGACAAAATGTCAGAGGCAAAGCTACTGCTGCTGCTGCTGCTAGTTGTGCGCTTAAGTCAGTAGGCCAGGGGGAAGAGGGAATAAAATAGGTAATATTTATTTTAGGCATGCCGAAGCTTAAATGCTCTTGCAGATAAAAAGCTGATTTGCAATACATTTTAAACTTTAGCCACACACCGGAGTTTGTTTTTAATTATTATTATTGTCATTGGAGCTATTCATCGAGCATCTAAAAATAATCTGAGCTATTATCAGTGAATGGGAAAAAATTTACAAAGAATAAAATGTATGAAAGCTTCTTCGCTCTTTCTTGGTAATTAGTATTTAGGACTCTGTAATTATCGAATATTAATATATTCCATAAGATCTTAATATGCTGATTAAAAAAAAAGCAATAAAATAAAGAAATATATACAAATTATACAAGAAAAATTTAAGACTTTGAGCAAGTTAATGAATTTAATCTTAATATGAGTTAAACGGGTTGTTAAAGTTACGCCGGAATTCAAATATCCTACAACCGTTATCAAACAGTAATATACTTCAAGACTTTTAAGAGAACAAAAACACTAAAAAACATATCCTTACAGGAATATTAAGGTATATACTACTAAAGTTTGGCATTTAATTTGTTCAGCTGGGTTCTGATTATCATATAATCTCCAATATTTCAAAGCTCTTAATCGAATATACCTCAATTCATCTAAACTAAGCTCCAATTTGACGTGACCTTTATCTTATATTCCTTATATATTTTATTTGTACGCAATTAATATTATGTAATCAGTTATTCCTCTTCCCAAGCATTTCAAACAACTTCACATAGCTAATATGCCCCGCCCAGGCAAATCACTTATGACGGATGTTAAAAAAACGTTGAGGAGCAAAAAAATAAATTACAAGGCAAAAAAGTTGAGTCAGATAATAATATGTCTAACGTTAATGCTGATGACAACGACCATGTCAATGATGATAATGTGTGCCCGGGTGCTGCATCCGGTGCGGCAGACATTCAGGCGTGACAACTTATGTGTCAGTCAGGCAAAAATTACGTATACGCCGTGTATGTAATGCAAAATTAGTGAGTGCTTCAAAAGAAAACAAAAAACAAAAAAAAGGGTTGCAAGAGGCGACAAACTTTTGCGGTATGTGTTGCGCATTTTAATAGAGACAACTGACACGTTGGCACACGTTGAAAAGCTCGTAAGGGCCAAGGGCTCAAGAACCATCCCAAAGAGACTTTTTAGATTGAATTATTTTTATACCCTTGTAGTGAGTATTATAAGTTTGTCGTGAAATGTGTAACACATAGAAGGAGACGTCTACGATGTAAACAAAATCTCATCAACATCGGACTAGTATATTGTATAGCTTTATAGAAAGAACCGGTCGAAATTGATAAACTCAAATAAGCTAAATAAATTATTTGTAAAGTAGTATGCCCTTAAGATCATTTAAGCTTCGGCATGCCTAAAAAGAATCCTCTTCTGCTTTTTATTTATTTTTCTCAAACATTTACCCTTTGCTTACCTTGGGCAAATAAAAGTTAAAATAGGCAGCTGGGGTCTTACCGAGACTCCTGCCAACCCCATGATAGCCGCATAGGGTTCCAGCTAAGTTTGCGCCTTGCGGTTAGTTTGCGAAAACTTTTGCTATTTGATTATTGCCACTTGCAGCATGCAGCACCAAAAGTTTTATGGTCTCATCTACGGCATTAATAAATGATACCTGGCAGCTCTATATAGTAGTTGTGTCCATAAAGTGGCCGCACTCTTTTCCCAGCTCCATTAAATTGTTTGCCTCGGAACCGACCCTGTGTAAAAAGTACATCAAAGTTAAGTTCCCAAAGCGATTGTCAACTTGACGCAATTCAAATTTGGTCACAGTCAACATAGGGTTTACGCAAACATAACCTAACATTTGTTCAACCAGCCTGCCATCCAACCCCCCATCCAACTGAACCTGTTCAAACATGCGAGTCAGGACTTAATCGAAAACTCGGCACTAATTTCAATTAAAGTTGAAACGCCCGCAGACACAAACACACACACACCCGCACACACAACCAATGCACAATTTAGCAACAACATTAACTAAAAGCCCTATCAAGCCCTTCCCACACTCCCTTCAGATAGACAGACAGACAGTCAGTTGTCTGCGTTGGCAAACAGACGCCTTTCATTTGCATACATTGCCAGGCCGCAGTCCCTGCCCCTGTCTTGGCCCCTGCAACAGCCACACAATTTGCTGCAGCCACAGCTGCTGCTAGTCGTTGCAAGTGAAGCCAACTCGAAATGCTTCCAAATGTTGCCTATAACAAATCAATTTGGTTCAAGCTTTGCATATTTAATTGAACCTCGATGCGCTTGCATTTGTTACGCCAGCTTGTGGTGTGCTTGCCAGCTATACAGTGTTAAAAACTAAATGGCACTTGAAAAAAGTGATGTAATCTAGAATATTGAATGCATGCGGGCATAGCACGACATTGCATAAATTAATATTCTTTTATTTCCATTGCTCGCTAAAAAAAAACAAAAGTATACATAAGTGAAAATATGTTTGAATCCTATGAATATTGATTGGCTTCCATTTTCCACCCGTGAGCTATGGATTTCCGAGAAGTGTAAAACACAAATGAAACATGTTGGGAAATGAGTTTGATGGTAACTAAAAAATTGTTCAGACAACTTTGCATTCGCTTTTAAGGTAACTACAGTAAAATTTCAGTTTGCGTTCTAATCAGCAATCAGTCAGTCCTCTGGCTGCTAATATAACAGAAGTCAAAGGTTTGAACTAGCATCCCCGCTATTCAAATGCTGTTTGACTGTTTTGATGTAGATCATGTCTATCCATCACCTGGATATATCGACATTACTTTTGAATAACACTAATTTCAATGACCTTTGGCTGAGATATCATCAGTGCTTAGGGTTTGAACCAGCGTCGTCAGTATTTATTAAGAAAACTCACAACTGCTTGCTATTAAAATATTTCTTATTCTGAAATAACAAAAGAGGCCAAGACAAAGAGATTTCACCTTAACCCAAGCCAACAACAGGCAATTAAACACATTTTCGTTTGTTAAAATTTAAATTCAAATTAGAAATAATATATTTCATCTTAACAAAGCAACTTCGAGAGGAATTCGCACTCATTTGTTGTACATTAAGATGCCAATGAAAGTATGCTATAGATACTTTGTGACTGCAGAGAATTTCTCAGAAATAGAAAATATTTTATTTGGAAATTTGTTGAATTAATGCCAAAACAAACTAATATATTTGTCAACATACAACTTGATGGTTTCTTCAACTTTACAAATGAACTTAAATGTATAGAACAAAAGCCGAAAGGTTTTCTTTGAAATAAATATATATGGAAAGTAAAAGTACGCTAGTTGGCATTGCCCACAGAGAAAACCCAAGCCCAGCTGCGCTTACAAACATTCTAACTTCCTCTTCCACACATGCATAAATACGCAAAAAAAACATTCACATGCACACGCACGCACGCCGCTTGCAGAGAACTTTTTGCGGCGGTTATGCTTCTTCTTTCTCTTGCCCACACACTGTATGGGAACTGCATTCCTAATTAACTGAGGTGTTTATAATCCGAATTTTATGAAATTCAAGGTTAAAATATGGCTTGCAAAAGTGCGCATATACCAGCGCACAAGGTTCGAACTTTACAAAGGAACTTTTCCAACTTTTTGGGAAATGTGTTGAGGTATCGAAAAAGTTTAACATTCTTAATCCGTGTAAACGGGAACTTACACACCAAGTTTGGTGTATTTAGCGCTTATAATTCTCGAGCTATGCTTAAAAAAGCCAAGCACAAAAGGGAGAGATGGATAAGAGGAGCTGGCTGGGTTGAATCAGCTCAACGTGCTGACCAAGAGTCTACCTTATGCATTTGCAAAACAACAATTTACTAATTTTTAGTGGATAATATCAGTTTGTCAATCTACGCTGGGCAACGCCGAATAACACAGCTAATTTATTATATTTATTATATGCTCAAATAACACAAAAGCAACAGCTACACAGGCTTAACCACGCGTACAACTATATTCCATTCTATTATATTTCATTTCATTCTATTCTCAAGCGTAAACCATCCAAAGCAATTTCGAATATCACATTGCAAAAAAAAAATATTATTGATTTAAAATAAATGTATTATCTCTATGCGCTGGCTTTTGTTTCAGGGCCACAAATCGAGAACACCAGCAAAAAAAAATAAAAAACAAAAAAGAAAAAAACCGAGACAAAACGAGACAAATGAAAAATTGTAAAACTGTGAAATATAAAGCAATACGCCCCCAAAGTTAACATCAATATCAACAGCAACGGCAACATTGAGGGCAGCTTTTGTTATCCTTTTAACGCCACATTTTTGCACGACATGCACAACAGCTTACGGCTTTGGCAGACCAGTTCAGCACTTTTGGGCGGCCAACGGAGCGTATGCGCAACATTTGGCATGCAGTCACAGGGGCTCGGCTCGTGCATTTGATTTGTGGGCCGCATAAAGTTCGCGCGAGCGTGTTTGTTCTGATATTTACAATTTTAATTCAATTTGTTATACAGTGTAGCATCTGAGCCGGGGCTGAGCCAGAGCGACCTGCCAGCTGTGTCCGCCCGAAGTGCCACAAGCCACTTGGCTGCTATTTTTGCCCATTCAACTAATCGATAGTTTATGTGCTGGCCAAGCCGTAGATGCAAGTACATTTAAGCCAAGTGGAGAGCGGGCCAGTCAATTCAATGACAGCTCGGCCTCAAGGACACATGCCGTCCGCAAGGACCCCGAACCAGGACCGGAGAGCAGCATGTTGTTGTTTAATTGTCTGTAAAATTGTTAAATTGCTTAGCGTGTCACTCTCTCGTTGTTTGTACGTGTGTGTGTGTGTGTGTGTGTGTTTGGGTGTGATTGTGTGTGCGCCTGTCAACGGCTTACCGTTTACATGCATGTGCAATTACGATCAGCACTCAGAGCCACTCGGTTCCCGCCCCCAAATCGCCTTCGAATTTAAATCCCGGCAATTGTCATGCTGTTGCTGCATTTAAGCTTTAAACGCTTTCAAACATTTACACTCAATATCTGGACACTAAAAGGTTTCTTTACCAAAAATTAATTGAATTTATTTCTAGTTGACGTTGTTTAACCCAGTGTGACTCGAACATAAAATTTCTTTGTCACATATTTTAACAGTATTTTATATTTTCGCTATGCCAGATATGTAAAAGAATTGACAGCTAAATAACAATATGCGGTTACACTTTACAAAACAAGCAAATAACATTTATTTGAATATTCTGTACAATTCGCACTAAATAAAAATCGACCTAAAAATTAATCAAGCTATCTAGCCAGCAGCTACAGGTCTTCATAGCCTACAAAACTTACCCTTTTTCCTAATATTTACATATGTATATTTTAAGGCAACACTTTCTAAACAGTGTGCCCAAAAGCGAACTAAAAAATAATACTATTCTTGCATTAATATACCTATAAATATTTATCTATTGAGCTATATTTTGTAGAATATGTTTCGTTTTCGAAACTAGAACTGGAATTATTTACAATCTATATACCGAACGTTTAAGTAAACCAGTTCTTAAAGTAAAATGCCGACCCGTAACTTTGACCAATATTGTAAACATATAACAAATCAATGGTTGAACCAAGAGAACTGCAGAGCATCAGGTTCACGAACCGAAACTAAGGGCAGGGATTTGGTTCGAACGTTTTTTTTTAATTGATGCGTGGAGAGGTAGACAGAAGTTCTTATGAGCATTCCGTGTCACATAAGATAACAACACCTTGTGATATTTACCCCTTTCCCTGCTAGTCACGAGAGAGCTTAGGAAGGGAAAGAAAAAGCCCTATAAAAATCTTCAGCTAACGTTATAAATAATCGCGCTCTTGGCAGACCTTTGAGCTTTCGTTACCCTGCGTAGTGAAAAATTACGTGATTGCAATTTTTAATTTTATGTTGCAGACGCTGGAACTGACGAAAATAATGATAACGGTACATGCCGCGTTTGGAATGTTTTTTTTTTTTGGCAATCAAAAGTTGTTTTGCGCCTTTGTAGTTTGTTTTTGGGCTGGCCCGCCGCACACAGTTGGCATACACAACGAGGCATACAACAAAAGTTTCCACGTTGCGGTCAGGTTTCAACTTTGACATTGACACTGGTAGCCCGGCTCGGTTAGGCGTGACCTGGCCGGGCCTGGCCTGACTCGGCTGGCAGCGTAATTGGCCGTAAAGGGTTAAAATTGAATTGTAAGCGCTTGGAAAGCATCAAAAAATAAAAATAACTAAAAAATATACATGCTTGACTAGCAGATGACCTGTTATCTAACCTAAAATAGCAACAAAAAAAGAATGGTATCTTGAGAAACGTCATTTACGTCTATTGACTTAGGGTATATTGTATTTGTGTAAATGTATGTAACAGGTAGAAAGAAGCATCTCCGACCCCATAAAGTATATATATTCTTGATCAGCATCAATAGCCGAGTCGATCTAGCCATGTCCGTCTGTCTGTCTGTCCGTCCGTCCGTATGTATGAACGCAAGGATCTCAGAACCTATAAGAGCGAGAGACTTGAAGTTATTAGCTGTAGGTCCTCCTAGTCCCCGCGCAGATCGAGTTTGTTTCCGATATTCGATAACTTGCCCCGTTTCCAACATTTTAATTTTTTAGTTAAATTCACTTTATCAACATTTTATATATCTTCCTTTCTGTTCTCTCTTTCCAGAAATCGGAAATTCAAGGGAATCCAAGCTATAACTACTCGTACGTTGTAATTAGTAAGTAAAGAGAAATATATATATGTATGTGTGTGTGTGTGCATGTTTCAACTGTATAAAAATGAGAAATGAGTTAAATATTTGTATTCGTCGAGGCTTCTTGAGTGTGTATAAAACGAGATGCGATTTAATAATTATTTTTCTACTTTGTGATGGTTTCTTAGGCTGAACTTTTTGTGCTTTGTACTATAGATGTAATTTATGTAGACACTACTCAGACATATAAAACTAACTATACAAAAATGAAATTTCTTTCAAAAAGCCACTCATGAAGAAGAACTGTAAAAATTTCTATGAGCAAAACATGTAAGGCAAATATTCTAATCCACAATTGTTTTTGGACTTTGATTAAGCAAAATACATATACATATTTAAGTATAACAAAAAGCACCTAAAGAAAAAAAACATCAGTAGCATATTAGATGATATAGACGGGGGTTACTTAACGCTGAAACGATTTCAGAATTCACAAAACAGCATTGCACAACTTCTATACAGGGCTATTGACCAGAAACAAAAAGGTTAGCACACTCAAATGCACCAAAGAGCAAATCTTTCACAAGAAAATAATATGATAACCAAAAATACTAAATAAGTACCAAAATATCAAATAAATACCAAATATATTTCGAATATATACCGAAATTGATTGTAAATCCCACAGCAAATAAAACTCAACTATCTTAAGCAAACAACTAACCGAAAAAAAATACCAAAAGAACCAAATAAAACCTAGCACATCCAGAACAACAACAAAACCGAAAAATAAATACAATACTAACTATATTGCTTGTGAAATTCGATGTAAATTTATAAAAACTATTGGCATAATACATATTTAAGTGTTATGAAGAAAAATCTCTACGAGTACTATACCTAAAACTGAAAATAGCTTTATAGTTCTTAAGCCATCACATTTAAAAATATGAAAGAATAAACCAACTATAAGCCCCAGACATTATAATCACACGATATCAAATATGAGCAACAGTATAATCACAGCTATAGGAAGCTATATGAATAAATATATACAAAGAAAGATGTGACAAATGCATCTATTAAATACTTAAATGTTCGGCTGAAAGTTCGTGTAAGACCTGTAAAAAACAAAATCAGTTTTGACTATAGATTGAATAGAGCTGTTCGTTTGTTGCAAGTGTTTTATATAGAGTTGGGGATCAGATTGAGAGATCATATGGAAGGTTAAGAAATATAATTGTTGTAAATTAGGAACTAAAGATTAAAGGAAATCACTGTCCCTATGTATTCTCTCGTTTAGTCTGACTCTGTCTTGCTCTATGTAATGTGTAAATGTTAAATATGTTAAACCTTACATTATAAAATATATTCCTACAAATATATGTAACCAGAAACTAAACATAAATAAAATATCTAATTGAACCCTAAAAGTAAACATTTTTTTGCTGGTAGCTCATAGCTGGAATATGTTGAAATACTCATAAATGTATCCAAGCGAAGTTTCGAATGAATCCAACGCTGAACTTAAACAGTACAAATAAGTAAGTGGTTCTAGACGGGAGCTCCCGACTAGGAGATACCCTGAACCCTCTTCTTCCAACAGGTATAGATAGGTATACAATGAAACATACTTGATATATATATACTATTCTACCTGTTTACCCATTTTTAATGGGTTCAGGGTATAAATATAATAGCTGCACAGAAAACAATACAATCGCAATTGCAATGGTGTTGATAGAATTCAAAGCAGGCGCGCATGAATGTGTGTGTGTACATGTATACAAAAATTCTTGGAGTTTGCGCTTGCAGCTGCACGTGTTTGTAAAAGCACATTTTCTTTCGTGTTTGTTAACCGATCTTGATGAAATTTTCAGAAGTAGATCTTATTGTACCATAAAATATTCGTGTATTCTCGAAATGACAATTTCATTTAAATTTTGTCGTAATTAGGTAGGCAATACAAATTGGTTTACTAACATGATTTATAGCTTTAAGGTTGTACTGGGGAGGTGGCGATAGCTATTAAATGAAAGATACTTGATATATATATACTATTCTAGAAGCTACATGTCAAGTTTGGTGACTCTAGCTCTTATTATTTACCAAAGTTGCTCAAACAACAGGAATTCGATATCGATTTTTATCGATTATTTAGAAACGCGGCATGTTATCGATTATCGGAAACAAACTCGATCTGCGCATGGACTAGGAGGACCAACAGCTAAATTCAGGTCTCTAGCTCTTATATGTTCTGAGATCCTTGCGTTCATACATACAGACAGACGGACGGACATGGCTGGATCGACTCGGCTGTTGATGCTGATCAAGAATATATATGCTTTATGGGTTCGGAGAGGCTTCCTTTTGCCTGTTACATACATTTCCACAAATACATTATACCCTTTTTACCCTTTTTCAATGTTCAGGGTATAAAAATACGGGCGAGCCTCATTTGGAAGGGAGATCATAACACAAGTATCCTGAATTATTGAATACTACAACGGATTGAAATTCAAAGCTGGTTTCCAAACTTTAACCTGCCAATATAAATTATTTACTTAATCAACTAGCAAGCAAATCAAAATAAAGTTTCCTTACTCAATCTATTTATTTTCATATATTTATTATCTTATCACATTTAATAGTTGACTATAAATACTGAACGCTTACTTAAATCTTAAATCTTAAATATCAATTTATGAAACCAGTCGGCAGCTGACACAACCACAGAGATAAATCCCAGCACACGATATGTATTATTTGGCTCATTAACGTGCTAATCAAATCTCCTCGTTCCCATTCACATTCCCATTCGCGTTCCCGTTCCCGTTCTCAATCCCATTTCCATTTCCATTACCCCGCGGCGGTCGCTTGGGGCGTTTCGGCAGCAATGCGGCGGCTGCCTCTGCCTCCTCCCTGGCAATTCGCTCACGTATCCAATAATTTGCACCACAGACGAGCAACAGCAATGTGGGTATCACAATCAGGAGGACCATACCCAGGGAGATGCTTGCCACACGTGCCGCATGCTCTTCGTGACCTGTAAAAATGTGGGCAAAAGGTGCAGTTGTCATGGAATAAAAATTGGATAAAAATGATTAAAATGTGTTTTGACCATTTTCGCAAAAACACAAAAAACAATAATATATTTCATAAATTAATCAAGCATTCAGCCGCATCCATTTGTATTCCGAGTCATTCAAACTAGTTGCCTACTTTTGAGCGCAACTGTCATTCTGTGAGTGCTCCACACCCGTGACAGGCAACACACACACGCACACACACAGACAGAAACCGACTCACACCCACACGCATAGATAAGTAACGGCAACTTGTCCATCAATTTGCTCAAGATTGATTGACAACAGCGTAATGCACACAATACATTTGCTAGTGGGCGTGGCAATTGGGGTGTTGGATGTTCGGTGTTGGTAGGTATGTGTGTGTTTGTGTGTATGTATGCTGTGAATGGGGGCGTGTCATGGCTTCGTCCAGGGCGGGCACCAGAGCACGTGACAGTTGGCTCAAGATTAATGTCTTTGGCTCTGACCTTATTGCTTCGTTATAAATTTCGTAGCAATTTCTTTGCACTGCAAATGCACATTGCACTATGCAACAAAATTTTAAATCGTTTAGAATAAGCATCGTTTTTTTTTTGTTCTTAATATTATTAATATTGGATATAGCTTAAGACTGGAATTCTACAGACATGCACTAACCACGGATTTAAACCGGCAACCTTACTTTTAAGTAGCTTCGTAAAATATTTCAACTTAACAACTCATTTACCAAGGGCTAAAAAGTGAATTTACAAAAGCCGATAACAAAAAATAAAAAGCAAAAAAATAATATTAATTTTTTAACGAGGGATTCGAACCCCTAACCTTAATTGAGGTTGGCTCAAAAAATATCATAACATGCTTAATGTTTTTTTATTATTCGAATTTCTTGTAATTAAGTTATTTTTAAAATAAATAAAGCAACTCAGGTGTTTGATTGATTTACACTTTTTAATTCCCAACTGTACATTTAATAGTTTCTTTATCAATTTTCGAAATAATATTGAAAAATTTAATAACTGAATCGAACTATCAATCAACTATAACAATTTGTATCTCCTTTAAATGCATTTATATTGATTATCAAAATAATAAGCTCAAATAACTCAGTAAAAATATTAAATTAAAAATTTTGGAAATTAAATGCAGTAAGAAAAAGGATGATAAAATTTTTTTGAACACATTTAAATTTGTTGCATAGTGTAAATGGGGAATGCAATTTGGCATCGCTCGTTATGCAAATTATTACAGAAAATTGACAGACCTTCGCTGGCTAGCTTTAAGGCAGGTATTTTATCCGAACTAGCAGAACTTTAAAAAGATATTTGAAAAAAAAAAATCTTAATTTAAGCGAAGTGTCAACTTTCATGTAACAATTGGCATTATCCGAGCACGCTGAAAGTTGTTAAAACATGTTTAGTATATAAAGATTAAAGATATATGAATATTAACAAGGTATTTTATTAATAAAATGATGACAAACTTTACAATTGACAAACAAATTGTTAACTCGTTGTAGCCGTGATAATGGGGAAGGTGGGCGGTATTCATGGATTTGGTAAAAATACAAATGAATTATTAAAATATATTTAAATAATAATATGGAGACTGGGCTATTTGTATAATACGAGTATAGTGTTTAGTAATAGGAGGTATTTGCAAAAAAAAAGGTCATGGGTTGAGAAAATGAACAACAGGTGGGTCAATTAGCAGAGTTTAACAAATTTATACAATAATAATTATTAGATATATAAAGTATATGTGCGACAAATGATATTAGTTATACAAAATTTGAACTTTTTAGCCTGTGCATGTCAGGCAAATGTGTGTGTGTGTTGGTGTGTTCATATGCCTATGTTCGTGTGTTGCAGTCCTACACCTCTGTGGACTTTTGCACTGACGGCGTTGGCGATGTGGCTAAAGGCGGCGGGGAGGGCAGCCCGCTGTCCTGCGTCAGTGGCCCGGTGGGCGCAACACGCAGAGGCGTGGCCGTTGCTGCCGGCACGCCCGACGACGGCCGATTGTAGTATTGCGTGTTATTGGGCAGCACGGGCACGCCCCCAAAGCGATTCTGGTTTGCAGACTGGGGCGTATAGTTAATAGAGCTGGCTCCGCTGGTGCGACTATCCACGCCGCTGAACGTGGGACTATATTGCTGCTGATGCAGCTGGTCGGCCTCCTCGGGCGAGAGCGGCTGATGATAGCCAGCCGGATGCAGTTGACCCGTATGGACATCGGCCTCATCGAAATCATCATCCTCGTCCTCGGCATCGTGACGGTGGTTACCATCGATGGGTGTGCCATCGTGCTGATCCAGTTCGGTGCCGGAGGCGGAGCGCAGGGAGCGACGGCCGGTCTGCTTGGGTTTCTCACCTGTTGCGTGGGCAACGTTAATTGGATTAATGTAGGAAATATCCTTGGCTAGTTTTGTGCTAGTTCTATTATCACTACCTTCCGATGAGGTCACATCCTCGTCCTGCATATCCAGATCCCATTTCTTAGCTGGAAAATCAATTTGCGGTTTGCCCGGTAATGGTTCGTTCGTGCGATATACTTTATCGTAGGACCTACTTTTTTTCAGCGTGCTCGCATCGGTATCGCTATCGTCCTCGGGATCATAGTTCAAAGTGCGCAAATTGCGTGTGGACCCGGCACGGGAACGTGGCAAAGTCATCTGCCAGTGTGGATCCTCCTTCAGCTGCTTCTGACGATAGCGATAGACGCCGCAAACGATGCAGAGCATCAATGGGACAATTACCAGTACGATAATGCCAATTGCAATGAAAGCGACACGACGCGTGTAATACACCTCACCTGTACGAGGTACAATAAGGTCAGCGGGGGGTCGAAGGAAACGGAAATGTATATCGTATATGGTATATGGTACAAAATAATTCACAACTTACGCAGACACTCCGTATAACCATATTCGGGCAGATTCCACAGGCCACTGGACAAACACTCGCGTCGCTGATCACCGACCAGAATGAAGCCCTCATTGCACTCAAAGGCCACCTTGGCGCCGGGCATAAAGTCAAAGCTGAGCTTGCGGCCAAAGCGCGGTGTTTGCAGCACGCCGCATGAGACAACTCGCCTGCAAGAAAGCAGCAATAGATTAGCAACTGCTCGATGAATCTCAACAAAACCATTTACTCACTTGGCATTCTCCGCCTGCATGTTGACCAGACTGTCATAATAGTTCTTGGTAAAATGCGCCAGATCTCGATTTAGGGTCATGGCATAATCATATTGACACTGCGAACACTCGCCGCACAGTTCCTCGGCACGCTCGAGATCGTAGCTGCGATTGCTCGGCAGGAAGTCAGCGGGATCCATCACAAAGTTCGGCTGGAATGTGGCATTCGAATAGTAGCTGGCCATGCGTCCAAATTCGCGTGTGAACAGCGCAGCGCCCACATTGGGCACATCGCGATCCGTGAGCATCCATTTGAGGCCAAAGTTGTTGTACAGGCTGCGCATATCGTTGAGATTAATCGAGGCTACCTGTCCGTTGGGCAGCGTAAAGTCGTCCAACGGATTGAAGCTCCAGTTGCCAAACAAACCGGCAGTTTTATTCTGGAGAGAAGAAGGTTTGCTCGCTCGTAAATAAAGCCTTTGTATAAAAGCACCTATGTGCCAGATGACCTGAAGGGCATTTAATCTGCGGCATGCCGAACATAGCTTCGTCATCTTGTTAATACTTACAATGAACTTCCAAGGCAGGAACACGCGACCCGTCATGAAGCCCTCATTTTCAACCACCTCCACGCCGATGCCCGCATCGAATTGCACCACCACCTGCGACTGGTTCAACAAATATGTGGGAGTGTAGACAGTGACACCGTCAAAGTGCTGGAATTTCAAGCTCTCCCGATCGAAGTACACCTTGCGTCCATCGGCTAGCACGTCCAGGCGATAGCGCCAGCGCGCATGCAGCGGACGCAGACGCACCTCAATCGTGGTTGTCGTATTGCCGCGCATGGCCACCGACGTCAGCTGTGTGGCCATCACCTGTCCATAGTAATTGGGCGGCAGCTGCTCGAAGCGACCCTGAACCTCGAAGCGTTCGCTCTGATCTGTGCTGCGCGCCAGTACGAATTCGCCGAGGCCATTGAAGGTATAAGCGCTGCCATCGAAGGTTATCAAATGTGGATCGCCAAAGACGCCAGCGATGCCGGGCGCCTGGTAGGCCACGCAATCCTGAGAGGGGCGGCGCTCGAAGCGATAGGTTTCGCAGCCAACGGCCTGCTCTTCCTGCCAGTAGCAGCAGGAGTAGAAGGGACGCATATCATGGAACCACATCGACAGTGATGGCACCTTGCTGGCCTCGTTCCAGGGCATCTTGCCCAGGTTGTGAATACGACGTGGACGTGAGCCCCACATCTGATCATAGGTCAGCATCAGGAAGCCATAGCGATCATAACAACACTGCTGCTCAGCACCCTGGGCACTATAGAGGGGGCGAAACAAAGACATGAATATCATAGTATAAAGCAGGAAGATAAGATAAGTCTGGGTTAGAGCCCATAAATTGTTCCTGAATATAAATAGCTGTCTAAGTCTCAACCTGCAAGAGTTATTTAAAGGCTTAATAATAAATATAATAAAGTATTAAGTAAGAGCGCACTAATCAGGAGTGTCCGATTAGGAAATAAGGTCAAAGCCGCAAATTAAGCACCTTAGACACACACTAAGGATAATGAATTCTTGATTAACTACGGTGTTTATTGTTCTATCTTTAGTTAATTATAAGATATGTGTATGTAATAAAGCGCAGGGCTCTGTATATCTCTAGGTTTTGAGACATAGCCAAAAACAGGATTTCAATATCAATTTGATTTTGAGCCGTTTGTGTATTAAGAAGACCCACGTTTAATACTATAATTCTGTAGACCTAATTGTCATCGAAATCGACCCATTTACACATACACAAGGACAGACAAACATTGAAGCTGACCATGAATATAAATATTTTACGGGGCCGGAGATGGTTCATTCTGTTAAATATATTTGCACAAAACCTTATACCGTTTTTACTCATTTGGGGTATAAACACAAAGTGAAAGTAGAGTAAGGCAATAAATTTAACAAAAAGAATAAATAGAAGCAAGCAAGAAAGGTATTCGACTAGATGATACCCAGTACCTACCCTTAAACTTGCAACTAAATGTAGCCATACAGGAACATATACATATATGAAATGGATTTGTTAGATAATTGGGTTGACTTACACTGGCGTACCGCTGACCACACAATGGATGGCGCCACGATGACGCAAACAGCTGGGATTCGAGTCCTTGTCACACTCCCGATCCGGTCGAAAACGGCCCAAATCGAGCACCGCCTGCTCCAGGGTACAGGGGCACAACGGCAGGTCGGCAGCAAAGTTTCTGAATTACAAATTTTTGTATTATTTTGATTATTTGGCCTCGCCAGAGCTGTGTCTAATTAGAAGCGTGGTGTTCCCTTGACATTTGCCAGCTTTTAATTAGCAGAAAATGTAAATGCCGGCGCCGCCAGATGAAAACTGGTAACTGGAGAGTCTGCCATTGTTTAAAGCTTTCGACTTACCTGAGAAATCGGTCTGCGCGTATCCAATTATCGCACAGAGCACGGGGCCAACGTTTGCCATGCTTCTGCTCCCACTGCGGTGCCATGTACCAGGCCAATGGTATCGGTCGTGACCAGAGAATGCTATATGGATTAAACAAAGGCAGCTTTGCATTAGTCGAGAGCTACGCATATTGCATGTCACATTACGCATACGTCATGTTGGCCGCATCATCCATTGCCAACCAAACTGGAAATTGCCACAACGGCTAATTGCAATTAAAGTGCATGCCGATATGCCAATTATTGACTCAGCCACGTCCATCGAGCTGGACAAGAGAATGGCATTAGCAGCCATCACATTGACAAATTTGCAATTGATGGGTTATGCGACCAGCTCGAATTTAGAGTCGCGCGTGCTGCTCATCAAATGTGAATTAAATACACAAGCATATACGCACACATCCAACATGAAATGAGATATGGGCTGCTGCCACGTGCCCCGTTGAAACTGTAGCGCAAAATAATGACACCCAAAGGTATCATAAACCAAAGCGCTCAAAACAAGAGCGGGAAAAAACATACAAAATAAAAAAAACGACTAATTTTGGAACACCGAAGACAAAATATCCTAGTAGGATAGGGGCTAAGAAGTGCAAATTTAGCCGAGATATTGTAAAGGATAAGAAAGTTTTTATCGGAAACAGTATTTTTGGACTATAATTTCTATAGAAGCTATATGATATAGTAGTTCGTCTTACCAAGATTTCGCTCATATGTAAGAGGCAAGAGGCATGTAAGGCAAGAGAAATATCAAAATTGAGAAATTTAGTCAAGATATTTGCAAAAGAAAACATTTTTTCATACAAGAACCTAATTTTCGACCGAACAATTCGGTGATCCATGGTATAGGGGTCCCGTTCGACCGATTTCGACATATCTACTGTCTGCAAAAGAAATTCGGATCTATGAATAGTTTGCATGGAGACTGATAAACGGATAGATGGATATATCGACTCTAACTACTATTCAAGCATATAGATACTGTATGGAGTCGGAGATGTATCCTTCTGTGTGTTACACGTTTCATAACAGAATCATAACACCCTTTATAAGAGAATTACACACAAAAACCCAGCGGAAAACACAGCTGCCGATTGGGCTAATATTCGCATACCAGAATTTAAACTGGCATTTAAAGAAAAACCTTTGCAAACATATTGAATTTATAATGGAGCTTACAGCAGTATCTGCTCAAGTGTAACCCATCAATATGTTTCAAGGTATTTTTAGAGTCTGAAGCTATTTCTATTATTCTCTATAATTCACTTGCAGTGCGAATAACTCAAACATTTTCAAGAATTTTATCGTCACTTAATTATACGATGAGCATCTTTTGTGAGCTTTTAACTGCTGCAAATACTTCAAGCTTAAGTGCAAAATAATTACAAAAGCGTAATGCACGAATAAGTCTGAAGGCTGTACTTGAGAGTGCACGATTGAGAAATACCCTGTATTTAATTGATTGCAATCGAGTCCATACTATGCATGAGATTGTTGTGAATGTTCTCTCAAAAAAAGCAGTGCAAATTGAAAATACCATTTATCAAATTTTGGATGGCAATTTTGGGATGGAAATTATATTGCCGTCGACAAGGGTCGTAGGTGCATTATAACTAATACATAAAATAAGAAAATTGTAAAATATTTTAAATAAATTCTGAAAACCTTTGTATGATGAATGTCTTTTAATGAAACAAGAAAAATTTTGAAAAAAACAGGATTTCAAATTGATTATTTGTAATAATAATAATTGAAACTTTATCGATTCCTAACAGAAGATATATAACCAAAATGATACTTTTAGGGTTGACAACATTATAAAAACTTCTTAAGAAATATATATAAAATATATATATGAAAATAGACGGAAGGTTTTGGAATTTATAATCGGATAGTCAAGATATTTGCTGAAAAATATATATTCTTTACTAAAATAGGCGAATATAATATTTATTTTCTTTTACGAAATTTGTCGACTCGATTAACTTTATGTACCTTTGTGTATGGATATGCAAAATTTTAGTATTCTGTCTCAAACACCGTGGCTAAAACTGCGGCATAATTCCACAATTTAAATACAACATTTAAGCCTACATTAATTCAGGTGAGCTCCAAAACGACCCAAGTGACATATTAATTGTATGTTTACAGGGCATACAAATAGGAAAAGGATTTTATGAGCGAACAAGCTATGCAAATGAGTAAAGCGCGCGCGGATAGGGCAACAATTTCAGTCAAGTGGCTGCTGGTTGTGGCCATCGAAAGCACATTTCCCTTAGCTATTGATTAGCCGTCGCTCCTAATTACAGAGTGTCATAATAAGCCATCTACGGCCAACTGGGCGAAAGCCAATGCTAACTGATTGGTCCCCGAGGCGCCAGGAATAGCAGCAGCAGCAGCAGCAAATGTGCTGTGTAGTTGCAGGCAGCACTTTGAAAATTGCTGTTGCAAATTGAATAAAAATATAAGAGCGGAACAAGAGGCGGCTCAGGCAGGGTGGGTGGGCAGAGCCAGAGCGCAGCTGACTCAACTGAAAGTCAATTAAAACATAATAAACCGTGGCCTAAGAGGACAAAAGGGCGTATGAGCAGGAGGAGCGAGCACTTTGAATCAAGGTTACAGTCTGACCGAGTTCAAACAATTCCAATTTCATTGTATTTTTTTTTTTTATATATTATCTAATTTATTTTATTAAGAATAAAAAAAATCTGACCCAATGAATACATGTGGAAGGCCCTTTTGTGTAGACACAACTCGAAACCCTTCTCTGGTAGCAGTTTTAGCGGTTTTGTATATTTTTAGCAAACTTCTAACTTCTAATTGCCTTAACTTGGTGCGAATCGCACAGCAACATCAACATTACAACTATTTGAAATTGGAATGAATGTGACGGAAACCAGAATCTAACATCGAGACCGGGCAATGTCGAGTAATTCGTTCTAGTAAATTACAATTACATTGTCTCATTTGAATTTGGAGTGAATTTGACAAATCTGGGCTTCAACAAAAAGTTGTTTGCATGAATGTGGAAAAGCAGAAGCTCACATCGTGGCCAAGCGATGAAGGATAATTTCTTTTAGTAAAATACTTACGGACTGAGCGCCAGATTAGAGTACTGTTCCGGCTGGGTGAGATTTATTTGCAGAAAGCCAAATTGCATATCATTGTTGATGTTGTGGCGGGTGAGGTAGTTGGAGGGCGTGATCACATAGCTGCCCGTATTGGTGTAGCTGGCCTCAATCACATCGATGTACTCAAGCTGTGGCTCGATTTTAGTCTCGCGATAGCCCCACAGCGAGATCATGACATTGGCATTCAGATTGGATGTCAAATTGAAGGCATTCCAGGTGATGCGTATCTCGCTGGGATTACGCTTGTGCACATCATCGGTGGCAAAGAAAATCTTCTCGGTGGCCGCCGCCGGTGTCTCCACAAAGTACTTACCGCGCCACTTGAAGCGCTGTGTGCCCACTGAGATCTGGAAGCGTATATAGCCCTCGGCCTTGAGGAACGGCTGCACGCATATGACACGGTTCCGATCCACATAGGTGCCCAGCACAGATTCCGTATCGAAATGGCAGGTAACACGTATGCTCGGATCGAAGCAGGGTCCAGTTATGTTTACGACCTGACCGCCCAGCATGTTGCCCGACTCCGGTGCAAAGGTTAGCGGCAGCAAAGCAGCATCTGCAAAGGGCCAAATGTGTAATTAGAGTGGACCAAAATCAGTGAAAGCAATCAGAAAATTATACGCACCAATATCCTTGTTGCAGGAGCCAATTAAAATCTGCTCATCGATGCGGAAAATATGTCGTCCAGGGAAACCGTTGCCCCAGCCTCGATTGGCCAAGTCGCGTATCACCATATTCTGGCTATACGGCGTGTATTCATAGGCCTGTGTACCGTTGCCAGCATTGAAACCAACCTGCATAAATTAGACAAGCCAAATCGATATTATTATGAAGCCACATCCATTATATGCTCACATCAGACAGAACTACATCATTTAATTGTAATTAATTTCTCTCTGCAACTTGTTGGCAACTATGTAACTCTAGACCAAAAACCATCAGCGCGTGAATCAATTTGGCCAACAACTTGTTAACCATTATGCAGACAAAGTTCACAATGTGCGTTTAATTATAATTTGTTAGTTACAGTCAACAATAGCCCAAGCGCGCAACAACAACAAAGCGTAAAAAGTTCTAAAATAACGACTACGCGATGCCCTACATAGAAATATTGTAAATCCAAAATAAATTGTATCAAAAGATTAGTTAAAGCATAAGTCAATTTTATTGATTTTCTAGGCCTTTTAAGAAAAATAATAAAAGTTTAAAAGAAAAATAATAAAATTAAAACAGATTTTTAACCTGAATACGACTTACAATATATCTAGATTTTTTTATGTTATATAAAAGCATTTTTGCTTGGCAGAAAACATTATAATTTTGTGTAATGAATTGTAGAAGAAGATATTGGTGAGTCGTTATATCCATGTCTGTCTATTTTTAGACTCTTAGTTCTCAACCTATATTAACGAAACTTTTGCATAGACCAGTATTTTCACGAGTCGAATTACTTTACCATACAAATTGCTTTTTGTATTGAAAAAAAATTCGATTAATTCTTTTATAGCTATTTTTGTTTTGTGTATCTTAAAAGTACAAACTTTCTCTAAGTATATAGGCAAAACCTAACAAGAAACGATGCGTGGAAAATTGTCTAAAGAAGATTTGTATAAATATAGAAATATATCTTTCATCTGCTACGTCTGATAAATAATTGTGCTACACTCGAGATTCAAACTGACCTCAATGCTGAAAAACTGAACTTTTTTTTTAGACTACTCAACTTGCTCTACATTGTTGGTTCGTTTAATTTGATTTTTGTAATGTCAAGTCGCATTCCGAAAACTATATGACATTTGTGTAGGGTACATTTGTCATGTATGCAATTTATAACAAGCCAGAGGGTGCTTGAATTGAATAGAGCTATTGATAATTGATTTGTTTGTAGCAATATGATTGCGTTTACAATTATCTATGCACACCCTCACACATCCACGCACACCCACACATGCAGACACTAAATGCGTGGGTATTCAAACGGACTGACATATAGTTAATATTCAGTTTCAAAAGAAAAATTGAATCAAAAACAGCAACTGAGGAACTTGGAACTGAAGCGTAATGAAAACTTTACCGTTGCTTGGCAGCCATTAATGAAAATTGCGCTGTTTGTAGCTCGCGAACTATGTGTGTGCGGATATATGTGTGTGTGTGTGCATAGTTGTGTGTGAAAAAGTCAGTGAATTTCCCATTGTGTAAAATGTTTAATTAAGTGCGACCAAAACGTGTACGCGCTGCAGCCAAAACACGCAGAAAGTTGTTTGAAAGTTTGAACACTATATGAAAAGTGAAATTTCAAAGAGACTTACAAATGCGGGCACACCACCCTCGCCCTTCGTCGTATCACCGCCCGCTTCAGTGTGGGAGAGCCAATTAAGAACCGCATAGTTGAAGATGGCATAAGTATAGACCTCATCGGTGGCCAGAACCATTTGGAAAGTGTTCGTCTGCAATGTGGGGTGAAAAGTAAAGAAATTATCAGGAAAAAGTTTAGAATAATAAAAGTATAGAGCTATGTCCCTTTACCATTTCCTGTCATTAAATACTCTCTTGTCTTGCCCCAAAAAGTATGCTATATAAAAATTTTGCATTAAGTGTTATCAAGTAGAAAATAACCTATAACAATTATTTATGTTTAGACACATGAAATAATATATAGTATATGAAGCTTATTGAAGCTCTCAGCTGTTGAAACATGTGTATATATGAGATTAACTGCATTTTTAGCTTCCTCAAAAAGAGTGAGTATAAGTTGAGTTGATATTTCAATTTAGTTAATAAAAGCAACAATTAAGGAACTATAAATCTATGCTCGCAATTCGAGCTGCTATCATAACACTTTCTTAGTTGTAACTAGCTTTAAAACAATAAGCATTTCTGAGAAATTCTAATAAAAACGGCAAAACTGTGTTTATTTATAAAATTTTAAATCTATATGAGCAATTATTTTTCTTTATTTAAACTAGCTCTAAAAGTAAAGGATAAATAATTCTGAAAAATGTTTGGTAGAGTATTGTAAGTACATTCTCTACTAATGCTATCGACCAAAAAAAACCTTTTGAACTTTACATTTTATAATATTTACAGTAATTTGATATAGTTGATAACGTTGGAGCCTTGCAACAATGACAAATGCTTGTGAATGTACCATACTTGTGAAACATGAAAATGTGGCTAAAATGATTTGTACTGAAGTGTCACAACTTACCGTAAAGAGCGAATTGTCAATGCCACCAGCAAAGGATACGTTTTTCCAGGTGGCGATCACCACGTGCTTGGGCACAAAAGTATCGGCACCAACAACACCTGTGCGTATATCCCACATGGTGCGCTCACGCACCTCGACGCCAAAGCGGTCCGTGCGTCCCATCAGATCACGTACCACACTGCAAGTATTTGTATATATATTTGTAAGTAAAATCTTAAACCAACATGTGAAAATTGCAAAAGAAAATCAGCAGGCCAGGGCATTTGTTTTGGTGGGAGGGAGTTGGGCAAGTGAATTTGGGTTTTCGGTTTGGCAGGCCTGACGGTGTGAAGATAAATGGATTTGATGCTTGGCATATAAATCAGCACACGGCTGTGTGTATAAGACGGATTTTTGAAGGCATATTGGCCATATTATAATACAATTTTTAATGTATTTTTACGTGTTTTATGGCGCTGTGCGCACTTTCAACTCGCTGTAAACGTTGACGCTGACAGCGGCAACATGGCGTATGATTTATATTCCTTAATTATTCATTACGCATGCCGCACGAAATAGGATTTCGCCTTTTCCCTCCATATGCAAGATTTTCCGTTTTCGCATGCATTAAAAAGTGCGACAAAATTGCGCAACAAAATTTTTATTGGAATTTTTTTTCGAAGCACCAGCAATCAAATCTTTTTATAGATTTTCGCATTTATCGTTATTTAAGGAGGTTACGATAGCAATCAAATTGCTTTCTAATTGTTTTAGCCTTGATATCTTATATTTGGCAATCAATTAAAATGTATTGAAATAGAAATGTTTATCAATAGAAAATTGCCAACTGCGCAAAACTTATAGCGTGGGTAGTTCTAGAAATAGTTAAGCTAGCAAATAATATAAAAGGAATTCTGTGTACAATCGATTTTTGAACAAAAGTTCTTTGGAACCAAAATTTCATTACGAGGGTAGTTTCATATACCAGAACTTTATGAAATAATAATAAAACATTTTAGATAATTCAATTTCTTTTCCCTATGCAGTTAGCTTCAAGCTGGATCAAAGAGTTTATTAGATTAAAAGAAAAATATAGAGCTTAATTAATAATAATAGCACTATAAATAAAAAAATATCAATAATAAAAACATACAAAATTTGGGGAATATTTTCTATTTTCTCTTTAATTAAAATGCATTAAATTAAAGCTCGATTAATAATGAAAAATGGTCATAAGAAAACAAACAAAACTGCGATAACTTTTTGTCTTCTATAAAAAGCTTAAATAAAATTATTCAGGAAAAATTACTACGATCCATAAAAAGTTATTGTATATATCTTAAGCACAAATAAATATAATTCAATTTAAATAACACTTTGATTTTTTAATAATAATTATTAAGCTCTGTAAAAAGCATATTCGGAAAGCAAAACTCAGTTAAAAAAGTAGTAGAAAAAGTGAAGAAAACGAACAATTAATATCAATATTTACTTTACTCATTTATCTCAACGAAGACTCCAATATTGGGCAATAGCTTTAATACCCTGTTAAAAGTTAACCCTGCCGAGTCTTTCAAGCACAGACATCAACTTTTAACTATTACCTGCAGAGAACAAGGGCTATGTGTATTAACTTTTAAAGCTACCCTCACAACCGTAGCTCACGTATTCATCACAGAATGCCAAAAATAATTATACCTTGACCGCATTGAAAATGGGTAAAAAGAGTATAATTATTTTGTGCACAGGTTAAAGTTCGCCTGTTTGCAACCCGCTCCCAAGCTTAATTGTTTCATAAAATATTTGTTGTATTTCCAGCTCAATATATAGTTCTAGTTCTTGATGCACATTTTGATGCGTATTTTGTTTTAATTTGCTGTTATTTTGTTGGCTTTTTGTTGCTAGACAAAGTAAAAACCTGATAAACGGGGTGCATTGCAATTAAATGAAATTGAAAATATTTATGGCAAACGAAGCGAAATATTTGTGCATGTGTAGCACCAACATTGATGAATGTTTCAGATATTTGCTTTCAGGCAACAGCAAACAACAAAAGCAGCAACAATTTATTGATTTCCGTGCCGCAACCCTCGGTTTAAACTAAAGCAAATAGCAGCAGCACCTCGGTTCGGGTTTGAATGCTGAATATGCAGCATATAGACTGCAAATGCAAAACAATACTGTACTTTTTTTTATTGGGATATATTTATGAATGAACATGCATTCATCATGCGTGCAGCTGAGCGTCGCATGGGGCGTATACGAAACATTTATTTATTAACACTTCGACGCGTTCACAACACAAAAGCAAATAATTTGTAAAATTCCAATAAATGCACATCATATGTATCCTATTAACATATATCCTATTACCCTATATACTATGCAGCGCATTTTCGGCCATTTGCTGCCACAGCCAGAGACACACACACACACACAAACATGACGCAATTATGACGCTCATAAATTATAACTGACAGCAGCTGGCAATCGAAAATAAATTGCATTTCGGCCTCAACTGACTGAAAACACATGCTGTCCACATTGTTAGCGCAACCAGCTAACAACACGGCCAAAAAAAGAAAAAAGAGGCCAACAGCAGCTGCAAAAATTGCCAGCATGTAAAAATAGAAGCCATGTTCCACCTAACTGGCAGGCAAGCTCGACAAAAAGATACCCAAACGTGTTTTAAGAGCAAATAAAACATTAAACTATCTTTGCTAATCCAAGAGTTTCTGTTCTAAAGGCAGGCATATTCACCTCACAGCTGCCTATTACCTAAAGACTTCGTGCTCAGAGCTGTTGAACTTACCTAAATACAATTATGATAATAGGAAATCATTTTTCTTTCCAAATTTTAACAATGTTATAAGCATAGTTAATCGTATTCTAAATGCAGTTATTTCTATATATCCATAAAACGGGGCATTCGAAAAATATTTGCAGAAAGGAACCTTTAGGTACGTTTGTATTCTTTGACCTTTATACACATGAGTAATACATTAACAAAAATAAGTTAAACAAATAAAAACGTGAGGGAACTTGTGAGGCAATGTAGTATACATTCCCTTTATTCCCTTATCACACGATTGTAATAAAATTTCCTTAGATTTTCTAAATTAATTTTCATGGATTCATTGAGTCAAAAGTGACTTAAAGTGTGGCTTTTTTCAGCTTTAAGCAAAAATTTAAAATGACAATCAAAATATGTTTTAGCTGCACTTTGACTACGCTACAAAATTATTCATTGCTGCTCAAGAATATGTATAATATGGTATGCATCTCAAGAAAGCCATTTTTATTTCCTAACTGAAATTGCGGCACTTTAGATACCCTTCGTGTAAATTTTAGTGGCTATAGGGCATACACATAAAAAATGGGGAAAGGCCAAAAGGCCGCACAGTAGAAACCTCAGACCGCACAGAGACAACTGCAAACACACACATACACAGACCGCACACGGATGCACATGCACTTGCATAGTTTATCATTTATGGCGTCCGCCACGACTACCCTACCATTGCCCCTAGCAAACGCCTTTGCCAGCTGTCGCTTGTGCCACGAAACTTTAAATGTCTGCAATTGACATTCAAGCCAAAATAGAAAACAAAGATATAAGGCAGAAAATTGTCGCATAGCCTAAAAATGCGCGCGCAGCGGCCAAAGCAAACGAGCTGCACGTGTAAGTAAGCCAAAAAGCTACAAATACACACACAGACAGCGACTGAGTGTAACAATAGTAATGGAAATTCGCCCAGGCTCCTATATACTATGAAAAGAACGCGTCGCGCTGCTCGTTTTGCCAGTCGTCAACGTCTCTTACAGGCAAGCCCACCTACGTCTCCGCTTCCTGCTCTGCCCCTGCCACTGCCATTTGGCGTGCCAGTTCTTGAACTGCGCCATTATGTACTTTATTGCATACATTCGGGCGCCGCCGCCGCCACAGTTTTGTCTGCATTTTGGGTTAAAATGCCTTTCCCACAGTTTTGCATGAAGCAAAGCCCGACCACCCACCATCGCCCCCCTCTTCAATTCCCAACGCTGCTCAACATTCTCGTCGACATCTCTGTCTGACTTTTCGTTTGCTTTTGGCCCAATTTCATCTCTCTCTTTCTTTCTGTGTGTGTGTGTGTTTGTCTGTGTAAATGAAAGTGAAACAATGGCCGCACTTAAAGAAAATGGCGAAAATGGCGAAAATTGCATGCAAGCTGCAGAAGCGTATCCTTCGACTTTTGGCCCAGAGCTCCGGGTTTTATAAATGGAAACATTTCAACAAAATAGACCAACAGAGCTGTTAATGCAGATTGACCAAAAGTTGATCAACTTGAGTGTAAGACGCATTTTGAGCAACTACTTAAACGTAGTCTAAAGATATTCAAATCATACACGAAGGCATCAATGAAATATCAAAAACAATTTCCTACACGTTGCCTGGTTACGAAATACAACAATAGCAGAGGAAAAAAAAAAAATCGTAGTCCCGCCCATTGACATAATGTTTTAATTGTGGCAACGGCCACGTTTGTTGTTGCCCTTGGCAAACAACAATTAAACGCTCAGCGCTGCAGATTTACACACTTGAACGCTTCACAAACAATTTTGAGAAAAGTTTTACTAACAGAGGCCCCATTAATTTTTAATACCCTTATCGGCGGGTAGTTAAGCTTAAATAGCAAATGTGAATGGAACTTCTGAGTGCAAAGTATTTGAAATTTCTCGTTTGGAAACATTTCCTACACGTTGTTATTTTTTCGTTTCCACTTAATATGAAATGCATACGTTGTCAGCGATTCCACCCGCAAACGTTGAAAATCGAAAGAAGACCGACTTCTAACTAATTTTCAAGGATGCTTGTAAAATAAAAAACCTCCTTTTAATCGGAAGAACGTTAACCTTATCTACACATTTTTTTTATTTTTCACCAGCTAGCAGTGAGTGGAAAAGTTCTGGCAAAATTTCAAGAATAAACTTAGACCGAACAATGCCGGGTAATATCTGCAAACATATCATTACAAATTAATAGTTCATATAACAAAAGCATATTTAAATTATATGGCTGGTAGGGTATTAAGACTTCGCCTGTCTGCCGTTCACCTTACTTTATTGTTGTTTTATTTGCGCTGCCAACAATTTGTGTGTGAGCATGTGTGTGTGTATGTTTGTGTTTGTGTGTAATTAAACCTGTGCTCACTACGAATTTAATGGTCAAGCTGCAAGTGCTTGAGGAACAACAGTGGGAATACATTGCAGGAACTGGCAAAATAAAGTTTGCAATGAATAAGCGAATTACGTGGCGTATGCGTAATGCAGCTGCCAGCAGAGTTTCCTTATTGCCCCCATTCCTCTACCTACCGCACCGTTTAGCACTTGAGCTAATCCCGCGCGCAGTGTTAACTATATAAGCGTATAATTAAATTGATAGTCGCATCTTAATGCGGATGGTTGGCTGTCTGCGTGTGTGTATGTGTCTGTCGGAATGAAAGCTGTTAGGCAAGTGGAATTTACATAGCATCCCTTAGAGCAACGGCTGCTGCTTGAGCTTCAGCTTCAGCTTCAGCTTTTGTGCAAAGTTATTTAAATTAAATTCCAGCGAACGGTCGCCCACACATCAAAGTTCTGTCCGGCATTTTTCCAAGACAATTAAATGTCAGAGTGCAAAGCGAACCCCGCAGCCCGCCAAAAACTACACCATAAGCCAGCACTCGAACATTGGCAATGCTACTTTGACATATTGTCCACCGCTGACTGAGAACTAAAAAAGTGAAAATGTAAATGAAAATGGAAATGCATTCGCTGTGCCATGGCCATTGTCAAAGTCGCATTGTCCCACTCTCATTTGTGTGTGTGTGTTTGTTTTTTTACCTAAATTGCTCTCAACAAATATGCTTTACAGCCCGTTAATTGCTTTGTCGCACCAATTTGTCATCTGACCTAAGTACAGTGAAACCAAACTGTGACTAACCTAGATGCACAGGGTGGGACAGTGGGAGAAATGTCGGCTTGAGATGGGCGCGTGAGCTAAAAGTATTGATAAGTCAAGAAGATATTTAATATACAATTTTCGATTTCCAAGTTAAAGTGCTTATATTTATAAATAAACCTCGATCCATGTTTGCAAATTTTTTTAACACACTTTCTAACACTGAATCAAAGCTTTTACTCTCACGAATCAGTCTTAGATATAATCAATCGTCAGCAATGGCCGTAAGATACAAAATATGCTTATCGTTGGCAAAATTTGTAATGAATACTTCGATCGATCTAGCCAGATATAGCGAGAGGCAGGCTAAACAAGAAAGTCACATCGATCAAGAATGCGATCTATCGATAGAATCAATAGCGCAAACCCCAGCAATTGAAAATTTAAGAAATTAAGCAATACATTTTAATGAATGGAAGCTGATAATCTGTCTATAAATTTATCGATATGTCAAGTGCGATGCTTATCGATAAGAAATTGTCAGTTTTCTTAAGCTGGCTGCCTATCGCTATACCAATAACGTCTATAATATTAGAAACTAATTAATCGATATAGCTGATGGTGTTAATGTTTTTATCGATATAGCTAGTGCTGTGCGACAAACCTAACTACACATGTTTAATTAAAGTCTCCGAATAACCCTACGGCACATAGATGCATTCATTGTTTGTCCCGTTTGGCTTTCGCTCTCAGCAATTTGGATGTTATTTATGCGGTCTATGTGCTATTTTTTAACCGCATTTTTTGTCTGCCAGTTACGAGCATATGAAAGTTAAACAAGCCCAAACAATCTAGAGCGAGGCGACTATAAATTAAGAGCCACATAGTGGTATCTGTATGGCTTAAAATTCCTTGGTAAATATACTGAATATTTTGCATACAGCCTCGAAATGTGAGAGCCAGCCTCTCGTAATATATGCATAGCCCGGACTGTGAGTGGATTTCAACAGTCGACAACAGGGCGGCTAATTAATGCGTTATATTTGGCAGTTATATTTCCGGTAATTACAGTCTAAAGCTAGCAACTCACAAAGTTGAAGGGATATTTGTGGTGGGCGGGAACTGCTATAGAATTAATTTGCATAAACAGCAACATGAAATGTTGAAAACTTTTTAAACAACTGCACAATACAACGAGCAAGAACGGCTATCGTTGACAACCCGAAGCTCAAATACTCTGCGAGCGGAATTGTGAAGCTAGTAATAACTGAGTTTGGTCAAGATTATTAAAGAGAACATTTCACTAAAGGAAAACTCAACGTTCCTTTCTCGCCTTTTTATAGTCCAATGAGGTAGTTCGATAGTGATTTTGCTCGTATGTAAGGACTCGTACATTTAAGATATATTAAAGGGAAAACTTTTTCTTTATAAGGATTTAATTTTTGACCGATTGCCTCTCTGAAGTTATCTGATATAGCGATTAGATATTGTTAAGATTTGGCTGATAAGTAAGGGAGACTAATAAATTCCAACTTTAATTAAGATATTTTGAGGAACAAAAAGCTTGTTCTTGTAAGAACTATATTTCCAACCTAACAATCCTATGGCAGCTATATGATATAGTAATCCGATCCGCTGACAGACCACTGCAAAACTTCATGATGATAGCCTTAAAAATGAGAGAGCAAGACATGGCTTTATCGACTCGACTGTTGAAACTGTTAACAAATTAATACACTTCATGGTTCATTCGCGTTATCATCTTTATAACAAATTTAAAATACCCTTTTAAAATAGGTATAATAATGAATTAACTATTCTGAAATTAGCTTGAACAAAATATGTGGAATACGGGAAAAGAGTTGGCGCAACGGATATCCAATATACTGATTCATTTGGCATGCAGCTGCTGCTCTGATTTCGGGCCCACCAAAAATGCAGCACTGAGCCGAGCATTAGCAAAAACCCCATGGCGACATTACGAAATTGCATCGTAAGTGATGGGCACGAGCTGGGATCAGATGGCAAAAGTGCTGCCAATTCAGCTAACTCTTAAAGCCAAATGTGGCTAGATATGAGAGTGCTTGGAAAAGGCAAACGAGTGGGAAAAGAGAAAAATAATACGGAATCCTAAAGTAAGTATGTGTTGCAAAAGGCATTTAAGATGTCAGAGCTCAAGCGAATGGTAAGTTAAGTAGAGAAGCGAGGCGAGCAGCGCAAAAAGAACCCAAGCGAGAGTCCCATGCAGTGCAGCGATTCAAAAGAGGTTAGGGCGGAAGTAAAGTGAAAATAAAAACGGGAAAGAGCCAAGCAGCAAAGCGAGAAGCAATGTAAAAGGCGAGGTAAGAAATAAAGGAAGAAGCGAAGCGAGCAAAATGTATAACATTCCATAGCTTAAAAACACACGTCTTTTCTGTTAACTTTTTGCTTTGGGTAAAGTTTCTATAATGTAGCGTTATTATAAGGAATCCAATGAATTAAAAATAAACGAGCATTTTAAAGAAACCTGTTAGCATAAACTCTCAAAATGTATAAAAAAACTCAAAGCGAAAAACGAAGATGAGTGAGACGTAATCAGAAGCAGCGAAAGAAACGCAGAGAGGAGCGAACTCTGCGTACAATGTAAGGTAAGAGAATAGATTGTCGGAATAATGTGCTTCATATTTGCATAGTTATATGGTACCTGCATTTTTCGGATTCTGGAAAAGAAGCGAGAAGCGTGAAAGGCAGTACACTAAAATACTCAGGGAGATTTTCAATTTATCTAAATTTCTAGTATATGGTTTGTACAGTCGCTCCGCTTCTCGCGGCATCTGATTGCTGATTGCTATCGATTTAGCTATGTTTGTGAGCAGACTGGCCAGACCTCTCTCTGTAGCTCGTGCCATCACCAATCACCCATCACCCGGCTGAAAGACGACAACATCTTAAACTGCTGTAGTAATAAAATCTAGAACATCCCTTACTATTACTTAAACTTTGTCCATTTGACAAGGCGTTATTTACCCTCCCTCTCCTCTTATAGCCGATATTGATGGCCAGTTCTTGTTAGTTTTACTAATATAACATATACAAAAAAATTAAATAAAAATTTAGCTATGTTTTAAGTGAGCTAACCAACACTGACAGTTGCCTGTGTCGACGCCATTTTGAAATAAATGCTGAAATCAGCAACACTGACAGCTCAGTGGGTTACAAATGGCGGCCAGATAGCGACAGAGCATGGCGCACATGGAGCACACCGGACCCAGGGACAGGTAACAGCTACTGTGCAAACAATGCAAAAATTCTGTGGCAATAAATGACAGTAACTAGTCAGAAACAATAACAGCGCGACATTCGAATGAGAATCTGAATACGAATGAGTTTATGCACATATACAATATGAATGCAAAGCACACACGCACACACACAATGTGCAAGCGGAAATGGAGAGCGAGCATTTACAAACGAGACGCACAATGTGTATTTAATACAATTCAAGGGAATGTGGAAATACACGACTGCTAGATACTCTATTTTTAGTGTAAGGCGAGCTGAAAGAGTATTAATAAATATGAGCTTGTATTTTCCATGATAACTTAAGACACTACATTTTTTAAAAGAATATCAACATCACTCGACTGTAAGATTCTCTGTTTTTTTTTTTTTTAATTTTAGAATATCGTATACAAGAGTTTTCAAGCGGGTTGAAACCAGTATTTTTAATATTAATACGGTACTTTCTCTCTTGAAGAATATTTAAAATGCTAAAAGACGAGTTTATAGCCGAAACTGACGAAAATATAACATTAGCCGAAAAAACTTGTCAGGCATATTTCCCACAAAGGAGGGTGAATATCCCCAAACGGCTGAAACAAATCAAACAAAATAGGTTATATTATTGACGTAGATAAAATAGAATATTTTGCGTTTGGTCAAAGCTTGCGCAAAACCAATATGCCCTTTTTTATCTTAACAGAGCATAATAACCGTAACATTACAATACGTGCATGTGTGCCTGTTGACATTAAAATGATTTGAAATATGTAAATTCCCATGAAAACTAAAAAAAATGTGTTTAAAAAATGCAATAGTAATAAAAAATAGGTAAAGAAGCGACTGGAACTAACCGGAAGTAGACGCCTGGCGTGCGCTGGTCCAGATCCGAGGGATAAATGCGGCCCACGCGGCACTTGCTGAAGAAGATGCCCATAAAAGAAGGATCGCGTTTATTGGGCCAGTCCTTAATAGGAAAGACCAAGGGATAAGTCAGATACTCGGGCGGATCGGAGAACTCCAAATAGCCATTAAGCGAGAGCTAAATATGGGAATAAAAAAATATAAATTGTATTATTTGGCCAAACTTATGGCTAGACGAGAGCTTGGACTTACCCGCGTATAATTGAAGCGAAAGCCGTAAAAGGGCATCTGGAAGTTAAGATTCTTGTGCAGCTGCGTCATGGAGGCGTGTATATCAAACTGATAATCGCCACGTCCCCCATAGTTGTCCTTGTCGAAGAACCAGTACATGAAATTGCTGCGCAGCTCGGCGAGACGGGCGCTGGTGATGGTATAGCCGCCGGCAGCCGTTGAGGGCGTGTCCGGTGGCGCCACATTATTGTTGGGATCTACAGCACATGATGAGAAAAAAATATACATATATATACGTATACATAAGTATTTAAGTCAAGTCTGCAGTTGCTATTATAATAATTTTACATTTCACCAGCTAATCCTGGGAGATTAGGTATTCAATTCCGCAAGAGCAGTAGTCGCCTCCATTCCTACCCGGACTTACGGAGCTGCCCTGCGGCACATTTCAATTTAGGCCGGGTGCATGCCGCACGCCGCACATAAACTTAAAAACTTTGCAATTGCATTGCAATCTTCGCCACGGCTGCTTTGCCACATGCCTCTTGCCACTTGCCATTTGCCACGTGCCTATCTTCAGCTGCTTGCCGCTTCCTGCTGACTCACTTACAAAATTGCTGCCTCGTACCCTGCACTTAGCCATTAAAGGTCACTGTTAATATTCATTTCAGTTTTCCCAACTCGCCAGCTCCAGTTTCTCGTGTTTCCCTCTTTTTTCTTTTACCCTCTTCACTCCCTCAACAATTGAAAAGGGTATATTAGTTCATACCATATATTTGCTGTCCGTCTACGGTAGTTAGATAGCTGGGATATATACTCGTGTATCCATGCGTTCGATTGTCTTAACTATAAAGTAAAGTCTACTGATGAGCTCCCCTAAAGATCAATCCATTAATAAGTCTGGATTATCGAGATATTGATTATTATTCAAATGATAGAGTATTACGCAGTTGATTGTAATGTTCTTTCATGTTTTTACCATCATTCTAGACATTTTTCTTTCTAATTTCTTTTTGCTTTAGCCGTTCTTGGCGTTGTTCTTTTAAACCAATTCAAGCCGACTAAGTGCTATGCTGATGATCTCCAGGGGACACAAAGTAACCACAAAAAGCCATAGACCTTAGTCTGGGATGTCAGAAGAGCAGATATTTAAGCAGCGGCTCTTTTGTGCAGTCTGTCTGCGGCTTTCACATTTCCTTGGCCTGTTTATATTGTGCTTACTTGGGTAATCTCTATTGAATTGCGGCCTTTTCAGCTAAAACTATTCTCTTTACCTTAAAGAGTACTTATAATTATATTTTTTTTTATAAAATGTTAAGGATAGTTGTGAAACGAAAATAAATAAAAATATTGCACGACCGATCCACTGGTTACCAGAGCTTATTATTGTAAATATTTTATATACTATATAAAGAAACACTTAAGACGGGGCTTTGAAAAATTTGTTTGGGCTTCTTTGTTTTTAATTTATTGAACTTATTTCTAACTCATTTCTTTAAAAATTAATGTGTGGTAACTGAACCATCCTAGAAATAATAACCCTTGCAGTTCCTGCCCTTTCCTTACAAAATGACAATTTGTTAGATTAAAAAGACTTCCTTGAATGGAGAACCGGGCTCGAAACTTTGCAGGCTTCGAAAGTGTTTTGAAGCAAAACTAAAAATTTGGAGAAAACTTAATTTCCTAACAACTTAGTTTCATAAGCTGCTGGAAAAAATAATTAAATCAATGTATTTATCTTTCTATAATTTTTACATTCTCCAGGACCTATGCCAAGCCCTCAAGAGTTAGTAAAATATATGGACCACTGCTGATAAATTGAAAAATATACCTTAAAAGATCGAAAACGCCTGCTTCTGGCATATTACGATTATAATGCAACTATAATACTAAAATTAGTTAATGTATATACTACTTTTTATACTAAAAATAATAAAGTGATATAATATCTGATTATAATTAATAACAAACAATTAATTTATGTAATAATTAATTATTTATATGACAATAATAATTAATTTATAAAATTAATACTAATCATTTTTAGTTAAATATTTTTTTTTTAAATTAATGGATTCAAATAATTTTAATAAATTCATTGTAATTATATTTATTATTACTTTAATTTTTTATAAGATTAATTAATAATGGTTTTTGATAATAATCTTATTACTGCATGCTCTAATAATGTTAATTAATTATTATTTTTTTTTAATTAATATTATATATATATATATATATATTTTTAAATATTATAAATCAATATAACTCTATTGTATATCTCTATCTCTATCTCTCTATAAATCTGCCCTAAACAATTGAAATTCTTTTCCGACATATCCGTTTTATTTGCATTAATTATTTAATTTTATGTCTGACTTTTGATAATATTGAAACTTCTCGCTGTACCCTCGCTGCAATATGAAAACAAATGAGATTCTCTTCAGACAAATCCTTTCTAATTGCCTATCCAACATAATTAATTTAATATTTCTTCATTTGTTTGTTTGATCATATTAAAACTCATCGCTCTACCCTTCCTCCACCCTACCATTTTAACAATTGAAATTCTTTTCCGACAAATCCGTTTTAATTGCATGTGTAATATTTCATTAGTCTGCCCCATAATAAGATTCCTGTTGAGAGTATATCCATTCAGTGGCCAATTAATGCATCAATTTGCACTGAAGCATCAATTTTTCCATCGATTAAACTCTACTCTGCGCTGACAGGCGACAACTATTGAGTGCATTTCAATGATGACATATAAGTATGGTATAATGCCTGATAATTGTTGATGGCAGTCGTGACTAATTAATAGTCAGCTGGCAGTTACCTAAGCTTCGACCAGAACGCACTTTTCACCTATTTTTTTTTCTGTTCGAGGTGTTTCAGCGCAGCTGTCGCAGAATGGATCAGTTTTTAATCTATTTATGAATCAGTGTCGAGTTGTCAGGCCATAAAATGTTATTCTGACAGCCGCTAATCCTTTTTGGGTAGCAACCTAACGCTGAACTGCTGCTGGGTCAGGTACGGATGGGGTGGATTAGTGCTTGATTTATTATGGTTATGCCCAGCGCGCGGAAAATACGCAAAATTCGCGTGCGCCGCGGCTTGCAATTCAGGGTAAATATCGCAGTTTTTTGCCCTACATTTCCTGGAATGTGTGCAGCAAAGCAAGTCAAGTTTCCTGCAAGTATCTGTGTGTGTGTCGCAAAGCTAGGCAACTTTTTAGGCCAACCGCATTGACAAACTACCTGAAACAAGCAAACAGCTGCTGCTGTGGCAGGTAGCCACGACTCGTGGCAAAGTGTGTGGCATATATAAGTGTGCAACGCTGTCAAGTGCGGCACATTCAGTTCGCAACACGTCACACGCAATGAGCATCAGCACGTTCAACTTTCAGTTCTACAATTACAAGCTGCCCGCCGAGCTGCCGCAGCTCAAAACAGCGTCCAGTTTCAGCGAACTGGAAATGGACATCGATGACGAGCAGCAGCAGATGCCAACGATTACGTCCACTCCACTGCCAGCGGCCAAGCAGCCTCCCGCTACGCCCCGCTACACTAGTGAGATGGCCCTAACCCTCAACTCGTCAGAGGTGAACAACAAATCGCAGTCGTTGCAGACGCTGCGTCCGCAGCTGCATCGATCTCAGAAGCGCTGGTCCATGGAACTGCGCGAGAAGGTGCTGGAAATGTCCAAGCGCAACAATGGCTCCAATGAGGAGATGCAGCAGCGTTTTACGCAGCAGCTGGCAGAGGATTGCAATGCCACATTTTGTTGCACCCAGGAGCAGCCCGCTGCTGTTGAGGTAACGCGCAGCGTCAGCGACAAAATCAACTTCTTCAATAAGCTAACCAATACCTATGAATCCGCCCGCAACCAAAACACAAACAACAATCGCTTCATTTCGCTGCTGCGCTCTAGCCGGCCACAGGGCATGGCCACCATGGGTGGCAGCAATGGGCCAGTGCCGCCGCCAAAGCCCAAGCGTTTAAGCAACACACCCAGCCCCACGCCCTGCAACATTGCAGCGCAACATCAGTTTGCCACGCCCACTGCCAAACCGCCCACAGCAGCCAGCAATAGCCAAGCGCAGCGCAAGAGCTCGCTGCGCCGCAAACCCTCCATGGAGAAATCCCGTGCCACAATCGCTCGACAGAATTCGAATGTAACTCTGCGACCACAGCGCCATGCCATGATGGAGGACCTAAGTCTGGTGGTGCCTGTGCGGTTACGCATTGCCGAATACGAGCAGCGCATCTCGATGAGTGCATAAGGAATGCAATTGACGCCACGCCCACATCCCCAGCCACAGCCCACAGCCATGCGGTCGATGGTTTAATCTAGTGCAAGCTCCCAAGGATAAACTACTTTTACTGTTCAACATATGCATAAGAATATAAGTTTCTAAAATTTTAAGATTTTAAATGAATAAAAAAGAAAACAAATAAAAACGGTTGATGCTGATTCTTTTGGAAAAAGTGAAAATTGTCTCTGTAGCCTCTACAATTTTCGCGAAATACGAAAAACACAATGTTGGAAATATCGATACCGAACATCGATATCTATCGAATTAGGGAAAACAGAATAAGCGACATTTTGGCAAATCTAAACTTGTATTCCAAATTAATCAGCGATTAATATATTCATGATGATCAAGAATTGTGTGGACTAAATAGATAATTTATTTTGGGAATTTTTTTACTCTTTTAACCTATTCGTTAGGCACAGGGTGTAATTAAGAAACATATTACAATAATTATTAAAAAATATAATAATTAATAAATAATATGTAATAATAATAGAAACCCAAGGGACAAAAAATAATAATAAAAATAAACAATTCTAAATAACTTGTAAGTGTAGAACAGTTACTGGGCAAATAATCGTTATCTATATGATAAATATATGATTTCTTCATAAGAAATCTGTAGAAATAACCAGAAAGAAAAGAATAGAATAGAACTTTTTGTTGTTTTAAGGAAAATAAGTAAATATATTTGAAAAGTAGAGCCGTGTGGAAATTTGAAGAGTAGCTTTCATAGCACCAGCTCTGAATTGGTTAAGGAAGGAGAAGCGCAGTATATTAGAAAATTTAATCACAATGTGTAACCGCATATGACTAATTAATATACAAACAGTTCATTTTAATGGTATCAGTTCCGATTACAAGATATCAGGGTTGTTGTAAACTGAATCACCCATTGGAACTATACAATGAGACCTGACTATAAAATAACACACCTATTTATGTGTATATATAACTCTGTTTCTCTCTCTCTCTCTGTCTGTCTCTCTCTATCTCTCTCTCTCTCTCTCTCTCTCTCTCTCTGTCTCTCTCTCTCTCTCTCTCTCTATCTCTTTCTCTCGCCCCCTTTCTCTCGCTCTTTCCCTTCCTCCCTCTCTCTCTCTCTCTCTCTACTTCCAGTCACTTGTTTTGTTTGGAAAGCCAAAGCACAACAATCGTTTTTAATGCCAATACTGTGAGCGCAACTTGGACCATATCTTATCGGCTCCTCGTATAGTATGAGGGTTACGAGTTCTAACCGGCCACCCAAAAAGAGAGACAACTGTGTTCACAGATGGGGCTTTGAGTCGTTAGTTATCGAGCAAATATTGGTAGGCGGCCAAGCCAAATGCTTGCTGATAAGATAGCTAGCAGAATGTTCGACGCGACGTATGAGTAATATGAACTGAATCAGCAGCAATGGCAGCTAACCAACACTTACCCCAATTGTAGCCACTGGAATCCAAATCGTAGAGCTCGCCCAGGTAATCGAAGGGCATAACTAGTGCGCCTGATTTGGGCTGCGGTTTAAGGCCAGCCACGGTGAGAATGTCATCGGTGCCACGACTGGAGGCGGCCAGGGGGGCCACATGGACAACGGGCACCAGTTTGCCTGCGCTGGGTGTGGGTGTGGGTGTGGGGTTCGGCGTAACTGCGGGCGCTTTCTGCACCTTTTTGTCGGGGGCGGCTGCAGCTGGCGGAGATGGCGTCGACGGCGTTGCCTTTTTTGGCTGGTCGACAATTTCCACAAATTCGGCTGCCTGGGCAATTTTGTTCGCTTTGTTCGCGGGTACGGCGTTTATAATTTGATCTTCCACTTCCGTTGAGATATTCTCGTTGGCCAGCACATAGGCCATAAAGCCGCAGGCTAGCGCACACACCACAAACAGTTTGAAGCGCATTTTCTCACAATCGCTGCGCAACACCTTTTGATAATTTTATTCTTTTTTTCGGGTCTCTCGATTCGTTTTTCGTTTCGTTTTCGTACTGGAAGAAGAAGTGCACACAAAAGCAGAGATGCAAAAAATGAGTTTTCACTAATAATTATTTAATTTTCAAATTTTCTTAACGAGGTTTTTTCACTTGCAAATTGTTTATTAAATAATGGATTTTTCACTTGATGACATCATCAGTGCTGTCTTGTACGTATAGCCACAAATAATTCCTAAAGCACTTTGCAACACTATCAACGTTTGTTAAATAATTACTCTTTTTGGCTAAAAATTATGAATTCTGATGTGTTTTTGTAGTTTTCACTTGGACGTTGTTATTTTTTCACTTGATGATATCATCAAAATGATGTTATAGAGCTTATTAGCCCCATATTATGCATAACACACTTTCCAACACTACCAACCTTATGAACAGCTAAATAAGTACGTTCGTTGAAGCGCCACGCTCAGTTAAGACTGAAGTCGGGGCGTTGCCAAAACCTGTCGACTGGCTACACCTGTCACCGTTTTTCGATTGTGAAATGGTGGGCCCTGTTATCTTTTATGCTCTATAGTGCTTATCTTATCAGGCAAAGCCAAGCACTGATAACGCATTCTTCTGCTTTTCGGCGCTCCAAATTTTGTTGGCCAAGTCGAATTGCCTTCGGTTATTGTGCAAGTTGCCCAGTTTCAAAATGACTTTTGTTTATTTAATGCTCTCCCAATCTCTAACACTCTCTCTCCTTATCAGCTTTCCACAGCTATTGTTGACTTTAGCCATATTACGATTTGTGATTCATTTCCATTACAGTTAATCATCATTCTTGCTGGCCATCCTCGGCCTAGCCGGAGCCCCCCAATATAATTATAGACAATGAGCCATTATGTAGCTAAAAGTCGGCATTTCCGCTAAAGCTTTCAATTTATGAATGAAATCAGCGGCAACTTTACTTTTACGCACTTTATTTCGACAATAGATGAAAACTCATAAATATTTTCGCTATTTCATTGCTTAGTTGTGCAGAAAGGCATAAAATTAATTATCATAATTATTTAAGGCATTCATTTCGAAAAATGTTGTATTATCAATAATCATTTTTTCTAAATATAAACAAAATTGGAATGAAAAATATTATAGGGCAAGCCCTAATAAAAAAATCCTAGAATAAAAGAAGAATCAACATTGGCTAAGTTTTGGGAAAGTTATGTACACGAATAATATATACGAATGGTATGGTTTCAAACTTGGTATTTGATATTGAAAATTTTTTTTAATCTTGTGGCCTGATTTTGAATTTTAAAATTAACACTGAATCCTAATTTTGGGAAAAAAATTTTTTCAAAAAAGATCACAGATACATAGTATTTTGACATATAACAAAAAATAATATTTTTTAAAATGCATTAAAATTAGATACACAACAATCTATAGGACAAAAAAAAAACTAAAATGACATCGAACATGAAAATCGCTTAAGTTTTGACAAATCTCAGATGGAATAAATATGCTGCCCAAAAGTATGCAACGAAATGCACGAGTTTCTAAAGGCGAGAGCGCAGAGCTATACAGTGTATATACCTAAATCAGATGGAAAAATGCCAAAAAAAGATAGAGAGGCACAATTCCAGTTCAGACATTAAGAAGACCATGTGATTGAGAGACTGAAAGAGACAGTCTAAACGAGAGCGAAACGGATCGTTTGCCTCTAGTAAGTTTGCGGATCATTTAGTGCTTATCAACAAAACTAACCAAGGGGTCCGATCGCCTACAAGCAAACAGAATGAACTTCAGTTCTGGGTCGAACGCGAACGGCTGCGGTTGGCAACGGGAAGCGGCTGTTGGAATATCCCAAGCAAAACAAAAAAATAACAAACTAATAACATAACAATAAAATGCTGCGACACTTTGCGAGCGCGGAAAGAAAATTGGGCAGCGTGCTGGGCGCACAGGCACGCCCACAACGCAACTATCACAGCAAGCTGGGCGTATGGGGCTATCGACCGGTCACTAAGCGCGTCTACGAAGGTATTATTTTAATTATAATATAGTACGATTTATGCGCTTGTACCTGAAAGTGAATTTTTGTCGTGTAATCAGTACCCAGCTGAAAGATTGCTGCGACTTCCACTATAATCTGGCCATAGAAAACTTCCAGCTGCTGAGATAACAATCATTTGTAGCAAAAACACATTTGATAAGCAACGTTTAAAGCCAAATAAAATGTATTGAAATATTGTTGTGGCAAGTGCTGTAAATCGACGCACACAATTCCTGACCAGTGTTGTTGTTGTTGTTGTTGTCGTTGCCGTTTTCGGCTGTTTATCGATGCGTTTTTGAGTGTAGCCGCAAACCCTTCAACAGCAACAAAAACAAGAGCAACCAACAACAACAAGGCAAATTGCTGTGAACAAACTGAATACAAAAGCCGCTGTCCAACTCATACTTGTTGGCTGCCTGCAGTTGTCGCTTCAAACAGACGCACAGCGAACTTGTGTGCAGCAACCTGTTGCAACTTTATTCAGTTTGTTATTATTTTTTAAAGTAAGCTTTTAAGCTGTATATATAAAACTGCTTGCTCCGACTAACCGATTGAGGGACTGAAGGTCTGATTGATTGTTACTCAAGGCTCAGTCCAAGCCGTCAACGTGAAAAGCTGTTGTATGAAACTATTTTATTTTCCTAAGTTCAATTTTCTTCCCATCGACTTGAAACTTTCTTAAAAGCTCCACATAAGAACCTAATAAATGTAATAGATGATCCACCCGTAACGTCGGAAAATGGGTGGTAAACTATACCAGGAAACTGATTTGCTGATTTGCAAAGAATCCCGAATAGTCTACATTCAAATTGTTTCTTCGAAGGCATTAATTTTTCAATGGAAAACGAATATGTCAGCGGCTTTCCAGCTGATTTTTCCCATGAAGTTGCCAATGTTTGTCCTTGGCTTATGGTTGGACCATGGTTGAAACGATTTTCAGGTGCAAAAGCTGCACAAATTAAAACTATACCGTGCCGAGCAAAACAACACACACACACAACGAAACGCACGCTCACACGCACACAATATGTGTGCACAGCAAAATAACAAAGTCGTGCAAACAAAGGCCCAAAAATTCCGAATTGGAATCAGGGCCAGGACTTAGCTAGCCTCACAATTGACAGAGTCGAACTGAACAAAGGAGCAGCTGGGGGCGAGGGTCTAATCAACACAAGGCACGTCAGTTCTTATTAACATGCACAGCGAAACAGAGAGAGAGAAAGCGAAAGAGATAGAGGCAAAGTATGTAGTATGAAAGAAAAACGGACTAGCATTGCACACTCAGAGATAAATGCATTTCCAATTTCCAATAGCATGTATTCATTCCATTTTGATCCAAAAATGTTAAGAATATTTTCTTCTTAAAGAGTTATACTCTTGTAGAGGGTATTATTAATTTGAAATGTGTAATTCATAGCAGAAATCTCCGACCCCATAAAGTTTATATATCTTTATGGCCATTTCCGTCTGTCCCTCTATCTGTTTCTATGCAAACTAGTCTCTCTGTTATAAGACTATTTTTATAATACTTTCCATAGATCCGGCTATCAATACCAGTCAATATATCATATATGTAGATATCCTTAGATCTTTTCAAATATATTTAAAAACGTGCTCAAGTCATTCAATTTGTTTGATAATGATTATAAATTATAATTTGAGCACCGCCTACTTGGTATTTTCTCCGAGTGTACGTGCAAAGGTTACAACTACACCAAATGGTGGCTCCACCAATAACTGTGGCGCGCCTTTAACGGAACTCAACTGGAATTTTGTTGGCCAGCTTTCTTTGGGCAGTTTTCCTGCGGACCTGCCCGACTTTCGTAAGATGACTCAATTTTTTGTTGACTGGATTCCAGTTTATTGTGTGACATCAGCAGGGCGCAGCGAGCTCTGCCTTTTAATTCAGTTGACAAAGCCCAATCAAAGTGGCAGCTTCGCAATTGGCGACTCTTTTGATATCCTTCACATTCGGCCCAAACTTCGCACGCCCGTCTCCCTTGGGGGATCAAGGACTGGCTTGCACTTTTGTATTGTCCTGCGCTGTATATATTCCATATATAACTGTCAGGACGCCATTATCCTGTGCTCGCTGGTTCAATAATATTTACACGCCCAAGGGGAAAAATATTTTCGCCACAAATATCATTCATCATTCATTGTGTTCTCTTCTTTCCACCCACACAGCAGCAGCAGGACATGCATGTCCTGCCACACTAAATTGATTTATTACCAACAAAAAAAAAGTAAATATATATTGTCAACGAATTGCATACACTTTTGAAGCAAATTAAGCTTTAATGCATTTCCAAGTAAGTCGGCGCTCAACTGTGAATGATCCCTTGTGCCTGCGCATAGGACTTCGTAATCGACTTGGGATGCACACACCCACAGACACACATCCTTTGAGCAGGATAACATTTTAGCACATAAACACCTAAGCGGCAACGAGCTATCAACGGCTTAGCCCAAAAATAAAACACCATAAAAAGGGAACCCCATAAAAAACATCCAGTGGCACATCTCACTTATATGTGGCTACAAAACAAATATTTATCCGGTAAAACACCGAAATTTAAATGCTCTTTAAAGGCTATCTGTAAAATAAGCAATCAGATTGAATATTTCGACTAAGACTGAATTTAATATAACATTTTAAGTTCAAGAATAACAAATAGTACTTTTATAGTTGGGAATGATCGAATAGGAGTAAGTTGAACCTAGCGAGCTGCCATAACATATATTCGAACTATGCATACACAAAAATACACATATACCCACTTTCACTTGCCGTCGTTTCCTTCTCTTTTCTTTTATCTTCTTTTACCTTTTATATACAATACTACCTTCATACAAACTTTGGTTTATCTATTTCTAATAGTTACTATGTTATGCTTAACATTGAAATTTTGATTTTTATAATTATTAAGGAATTGGAAGTTCTGCATATGGGAGAATATATATTTCAAAATACAAGTCTTTAGTTTTGTAGGCTTATGTTTTTTTTTTTCCTATAACATGACTAGATTAGATACTCAACTGATCGTTCCGATCAAGATTATATATATTTTTATATATACTATACATAAGCAAAAATGTTATAATGGTTTTGTGTAGTTTTATTTAAAAGCAAAAGGAGGCAAGTCCAGCTCCATAGAAGTATAAATATATACTTGCTCAGCATTAAAAAACAAGTTGATTGATTGGAAACGCATTGTTGGAGGTATACCCTTTCGCTTTGGTTTTTACTCACATCTGGATCCCATGCTTGTGCTTAAAGAAATTTCATATAGATCGGACAATAAGCACCGAAGTTATTCAAAATCGCATTGACAATTGTGTGTAGCTGAGAGAAGAAACACAGCTGGCTAAATTAATTATGCGACTGCTAAAATCTAAAAAAAAAATATTAATAGAAGAGCATCAAAGGCATTGGGTAGTCGATATGCCCCGCTTAGCTGTAGCCGCGCATTGAACCTAAGCCCAAAATATATATGCCATA